TGAAATTTCCATGCGTGCAACCGTATAATTACACCGTGCATTTTCTCAAGCATGAAACTTGCTATTAAACAAAACATTGACTTAATTAACTGGAAAACAAGAAAACATGTTAACTTCGGTTGCACTGAAGCTATAATACCCTTCACAAATACAAAGGCTCCTTACAAGAACGTGATTCCGATCAAAACAAAAAAGTTTTCCAGGCAAAAAACTTTACTCCAATCGTTCAGTTAATATGACAGCTATATACTATAGTCATCCGATCTATACAATTTCTTCGGAGATTGCATTGTTGCCTTAGAAAATAACTCATGCCAAATTTCGTAAAGATATCTGGTCAAATACAATACATATCTGTTTCCCATACAAGTACTTGATTCCGATTGTACAGTTTTTATGGCAGCTATATGCTATAGTGGTGCGATGTCGGCCGTTCCAACAAATGAGCAGCTTTTAGTGAGGAAAGGACAGCTGCAAAATTTCAGAACGATAGCTTGAAAACAGAGGCACTAGTCTGTATATATACAGACGGACGGAGAGACAGACGGACATTTATGTATATATTTTATAGGGTCTCTGACGTTTCCTTCTGGGTGTTACAAACTTCGTGGCAAACTTAATATACACAGTTCAGGGTATAAATATTACATGAAAAAACTCGAAAACCAAAGTAAACACGCATTCTCAACCGCCGCTATACTTTAATACCAGGTACGCACATGCTACCACAGCGGCGATGCCAAGAATTGCAAGAGCAGCGAGGTTAAACCAACTTTTAAAGTAGTATTAGCAGTAATCAAACCGCACCAGTACATATCTGTATATATATATATTTGCATGTATGTATGCATATGTCCGGAATTCGCAACAAATGTCAACACGCACCTGGAGATATGCACAGCACGTGGTACTACGTGGCGTATAAGTAACTTGTACTAATTGAAATTCAACAACTGCATGCATGTGGCCAACCAAGCAATGGAATGGGGTACATGCTTACAAACACACATATACATGTATGCACACATTACATACTTAGTTATTGATATACACGCACATAATCACATTAATTAGCGCTGCGACACAGTATACAAGCAGCTGGCGTCTTATGACTAGCACTACTTACCACATGTCATACACACGCACCTACAGTTTGTCCACCACAAACACTACTGACGGTGGTAAATACAATAATTATTGTTTGCGCAATGGTTTGTTGTTGTATATATATCGCGCTTCGCCAGCGAATAACGTCAGTACTCTTGGACTTTGGCGAAAGGACATTCCGTGTAGTCGTCTTGAGTTGATCGGTCGTTTGGTAGCATTGTCGGGCGGTCGATAAAACTAGAAAAAAACGCAATTGTTGTACATTTTTAGATTTATACACATACCAACGAGCGTTTTAGTTTGCTCTGACGTCAGAAGTTCCATTCAAAAATTTTCGGTAACAGCAAGTTTAGTGACTATTTTTAGTGCAATTTACGTGTGACGTGCCTTAATAACAAATTTCGTTTATTTCGTTACGAAAAAGTGGAAAAGAAATATGTTTGAGCTCTCGAAATTATTTTCGCTGCGACGGTAAGCAGATAGTTATTTTTAAACCATATAACTTTACGAAATGCGTAAGCGTCTAAATGCCTGCATGCATATATCTACATACATAAGAGTGTAGTTATAAGTATATGTCTATATGCTTTTACAATTTTCATGCGTGCAAATATGACCTATTGAGTTTTTAATTCTATGCCGTAATATAATGAGGTAATAAAGCAGCTGACTGTTCCAGTTGCCGTTTAACGCGCGGAAGAGTTGCAGCTTATCGCTCCGATCTTGATTGACCTAATCGGTTTGGTATATACTTAATCTCCGGCTCTGTGTTCAAAAAGTGCTTAATTAATTGTCAGTAGTGTAATATCACAATCATTTACTTAAAATATATAACGTTCCTCTATTATTGCCCACGAATGACACAACCTCGCCAGTTTAAAAAAAAAAGGTTGTGTAATTTAAAATAAGTATATATTTTTTTTAATGATTAAACTAAAAATTTCTATACAACTAGTTAGAGCATATGTAAATGAATAAATGGTTAAATTTATTTAGAAATCTAATTTAAAATTTTCGCTCTCAAAAATCACTTTTATGACATCGAATATATTGCTTGGTTATCAAGTAACCCATGAACACAAAAAAAAATTAAATAAAGTGCATGTGGCACACAGTGGCGTGGCAAAATTAATTACAGTGGCTTGAAATCGGATTTTTCTAGTCAAAATGCAATAAAATAAAAAAAAGTAAAAATTTGCATGCAGCATAATTAGGGATCGATCTTGCCGTCCTAATTGGTCGGGAAATATTTTCCACAGCAAATTAACTCTCTGACGGTCCTCCGGTTGTCTTGGTACTTATTATTATGATATGTATCTATTTTTTTCAAAGTAATTTTAGAACTCCATCAACGATTCAAAACAGCAATTTTTATACACATTTATAATTACACTCCAAAACACTCGGCTAACTGTTGGACCAAGGTATTTTAATTTTTTTTTTGTGAGATCGAGTCCTAAGTAAAAAAGTAATTTCTCCGTTTTTCGGAATTAAATTTATCTTGCGAAAATAATTTTTGAAATTTTTATGGGCAGCGATTGAAATCGATATTGTATACAACTAAAAGATAGTTAAAACTCGAATTTTGATAGAAAATTAAGTTCAAAAGTTAAAAAATCCATGTACAAAGCTCAATTTTGTTCACAAAGGGAATTTTCTTTTCAGCATAATATTTTTTCACAACTTTGTATGGTATCAGTACCATTCATTTTTACAGCTTTCCTAAAAATGTATCATAAAGTTATATAAAAAAAAACGTTTAAACGGTGAATAAATCAGTATTGAACATATTTATTAAAATTATAAATTAGCACTAGAAGTCACCAACTTCGAAAAAGTACACCTGAATAAATATTGTGTACCTACAACAAGGTGGAGATGGTGACTCAGCTTTGAGAAAGCACTCATTATAGAAATTATAAGGGTTTTAAGCAAATGTAGGTTTGCTATAGGTTTGGTAAGATTAGGTTTCGGATCTGGCACCAGCGCCCATATGGCATCCAAGATGTTTTAACTTTCCTCTATCGGAAGCAGAGTCAGTCAAGAAGAAAGGGTTGAGATATTTCTAACAGCTCTGACATTTGATGTCCGTCAACACTTTTAGACTCGACGCTTGTTAGCATAATGTACAGTGTCCGGTTAAAATCATTGTAAATGCGGCAGGATGCGACCAAGCTCACGTAAAGTCAGTTGTCTAATGCTAAACTGCAAGAGTACAGCGGACCTGTGACCCAGAAGACACTTGGAGACAGACTCCAAGAATTATCCGAAACCCGTCCTCCTGTCAACGTGCCCACTAAATACGCGTACTTTTTTCTTCATCGCTGTACAAGTATTATTATTTTAGAGTTATTATTTAATAGCTATTTATGTTTAATAGTTCTCAAACGTCGTTTGGAAGTAGAATAACTAAATTTTCCTGTGCAAAGTTTAGACATTTTTTTGTTGTCTAAATAAAAATGGAACGTAATTGAAACCTCCTTTAAGTTGTTATTTCCTATAGCTTTTCTGCCTTTCTCTTCTAATAAAACCAGCTCTGTCCTATATCATCTGGAAACCCCTATTTACCAAATAGCATCAATATGTATACCAAAAGAGGAGGAAAAGCTAATCTGAACAAGAATGACTTCAGTATAAGTGATAATCAGACACTTCCGCATTAATACTTACATATATATTTACAATACTAGAATATTCTAGTAAATAGATATGCAATATTTTTGCATACATTTAGGGTTTTATTGTACTTAGCTTAGTTACAATGAACCGCTTTAAGTCAAATATGCAACGTTTTGTTTGATAACTTGTTTTCCTTTTGAAGGAATATTCGTAATGCAAATTTTCCTTGAGCAAAATCATACACCATAGACAGGAACAGGTAGTAATGATTAAGTGCCAGGTCGGGACTATAGGGTGCATGCATAATGGCCTCACAACATAACACGCGGAGAATCTGGCGGTATACTATTGATGTGAGTGGCCTGGCGTTGTTAACGATGCAGATCCGAATTAAGGGGTTAAAAAAATTACAGTATTGAATAATCGTTTCTGTCAGTAATTTATTTGGTTTTGTGAAGGTAAAAACATAGCATCATTAAATCAGTTTTCGACTAGACTTGATAGAAATTCGAAACAAAAACATTAATAGTTCTAAGAGTAGTGCTCTTTGTGTTGATCAGTCCATCACTAATTCTGAGATATTCATCTAAAATCAATCGGGTAAAAAAATAATTTTATTAATAGATAATCAAGGGCTGGTCGAAGCTTTTTCTCTCATCGCAATTTCACCATGATGACTTTCGTTAATGTAAGTGACCCACTTTTTATCCCTAAATGTATCGATTTTGATGATATCGGATGATCGGATGATATTTTCGACAATTGACCTTCCAGAGCTTGGTGAAACTTTGACATCGATATTACCAGAACGAACGAAATCGACAAAACAAAATTTTATTTTTGACTTTATTATATATGATATAGATTACTAAAACCATCGATTGGAAACATGATGAATTTATTTTCACAAGACCGTATACATATATATATGTACTCATAACAGAACAAATTGTATTTCCAATTTTTCCTTGTAATGCCTTCGAAATCTCACCAAGCGGAGTATTATCATAATTTTGCCTTTTTTCCATGTTCTTATTAAACATTAAGTGCCACAAATGTCTATTTCGAATGCACCGTTAATTAGCATGTTCAATTTATGGAAAATAACTCGACTGAAACCAATTACCCCCCCAAAAAAACCAATAACCAATTGTGCCATAAATGCTGCGCATTTCAAGCTAAAGCTTGGCATATTTATGAATAAAAAACAAGAACAACGTCCACGCCTTCATAAAGCAAAAGCACAATTTCACACAGAGCAGCTAAATGCGCTCTACCGCACCGCCACCGCATAGCTTGACGATTTGTTGTGGTTGAAGCGATCACAGCAACGATTGCTATGATACGCGGCGCTTTCGAAAGCAGCAAACAAAACAAAGCAAAAACAACAACAAAACAATTTAATATACAGCTAAAGGACAAAAGTAATAACGACAAAAACACACATACACTCGCAAAATGGGTTGAATAATATAGAATATAACAACAGTTTCAGCTGGCCAAGCAAAGCGGAAGGTGTAGCACACCTGCTGGCGCAAAAGTAGCAACAGTATAAATAACAAAGAACAGCTGAGTGGTTTATTGTACGCCACTAAACCGCTAGTTTAACGACTGCAAGGGAAGGCGAAAATATTTTACGGTCACATAACAAACGCCAAGTGAAGAAGTAATGTGTAATTAAAACAGCATTAGTTTATTACAAAACACTGCGGTTGGTGGACACCCCACTCTACTACCTCTGTGTGACAAAGTACGCAGTTCAATCACCTTTCGTAAATCGCTGACATTCACGACATTGAAATGCCGAAAAGCCATATGTGATTCAGAAATTTTCCGATTTTCTTTGCGTTTGTGAAAAAAATATGTGAATTATTGATTTTTGCGGCGGGCAGCTGTTTGTATTAAATAACTGTAAACCAATATGCATGCATATATACATAAAATACCGTTGTGTTCTACACATGTGAGAGAATATTTGCCTGTATATGTGTGTGTGCGTGTAAGCTAAAGTATTAAATAGAAATCAATTTGTGCAAGCGGCTTACAAATATACTGCTGTAAATAAATAATTTTTCTCCATAGTGCATGGAAAAATTATTTTAATTTTTTTCTCAACACTTTTTGCCAATAAAGCACTAGCTCATATCTTGCTCTCCGCTCGTTCTCATTTTTATACCCTGAACAGGGTGTATTACGTTTACCACGGTGATTGTAAACTCATATAAAGTACTTGTACATATGTATGATGAACTGAGTCGATGCCATGTCCTGCTGTCCGTCTGTCATATTTAAGCGAAATATTCCCTCAGTTTTCGAGATATCCCCAAGAAGCTGCTCATTTGTCGGATTAGCCGATATCGAACCACTATAGGCTATAGTGTCAGAAAAACTGACCTATCAAAAATTCCTTGTATTGAATACTTTTTTACTTAAAGGGATATCTTCACGAAATTTGGTACTGAGTATTGCTCAATACTATGATACAATCTTCGAAAAAATTGTTCAGATCAGATGGCTAGAGCATATAGCTTTTATACAAACTAACCCATCCAAATCAAGCCCTTGTATGGAAGCCTTTTTTATTTGAAGATATATCTTCACGAAATCTTACACAAATTCTTATCCACTACAATGCTTTAACGATTAAAGAAATTGTTTTAATCGGGCCACTATAACATATTGCTGTCATACAAACTGACCGATCAAAATCGAGTTCTTGCATTTAAAACTTTTTTATTTGACATGGTTTCTTTACGAAATTTGGCATAAAGCCGAGGCTAAAATCTCCGAATAAATTGTTAAGTTCGGACCACTATTGCTCATAATTGCCAAAGACACTTACCGATCAAAATTAAGATAAGGAAATGATCTTTTTATACCCCTTTATAAGAGCACCTGTGAAGGGTATTATAGCTTGTGGTGCTGTTGTTAAAATTTACATTTCATTTTTACAACTCTTTGCTCAACTCAAAGCTTTTGCGCTGCGCTCATCGATTTCAATCACCATTAAATACGCATTTTCATTAAGGGTTAAAAGGAAGAACACTGTACATACACAAAACCGCTTGCAGTTTTTACGCTTTACACGCTACTTTATTAATATCAATCACCGTTTAATTGATTGTTGCACACATACAAATTCAAAAATTGTTTACGCATAAAAATATATAATCATTTGATGTGTCCTTATAAAATGCTGCCACGTAAAGAAGTTTCAACACGTCGTGCCACTTTGCTGCGTGGCCTAAGTTTGAGTTTAAGGTAATTTCCTTTTTTTAGGTTAAATGATGTGACTAGCTATTTAGTGGTGATAGAAATATGAACTTATGAAACACAATAAAATATTTATGGTAATAGGACTACTTCGCTCAATATAAAAAAAATTGCAAAAATATTTAAGGTTAATTATACTCCTGAGATCTTTCTATGTTTCAATTTAAAGCTAACTAACCAATATAGTATAAAGCATTCTACAAACACAACTAAAAATAAAGTTGGTTATTTCGTTAAATGAAATAAATATTTTTTATATAATATGACAAGATTTAAGGTTCGCCTTACTTTCCTTTTGATATCCACATATCTACTCAAATCCTTTCTGATATTTTTTCCCATATTATTTTAAACTAAGACCTTATACTTTATACATATATATTTGACTTTTTCTTTTATTGTTGTTGTGTAGCCTTTTCTTATCGAATATATATAAGGTTCTCAATTTGTTTTTATTCACACTCAAAACCCCGATGTATTTTATGAGGAGCTATTACTTGTTTATGCTTGTCGAGAAATAATGATCGCAGGAAAATAACTTTAAGTATAACCTCAGTCCGGATTTGTATTTAATGATCTCAAAGCCGTAATTCTGAATTCAACATATTACCATTACGGCGATCTCATATCGGCGATCGCTGCATTCATTACTATATTACTTGAGAACCAGTTTCCTTAATCAAAATTAGATGATCAATAGATCGTCGGGTACTATAACTAATGTGTCTGTCCGGCTACCTCTAAATAATATCTTAAATTCGGTGGTGACACTAGCAGCTTAAAAAAACCCCTTTGATGTACAAAACGTATGACATAAAACTGCTTCCGAAATGAAACATTTTCTCGGAAACTTCCAAACCTTCGAATTTTATAATTATTCCGATTTCTGATCGTATTTTCAATCTATTTTCAAAACCCAACTATAGTTGGTAAGCTACTGACTTAAGGGGCACACCTAGCGTGACAGTCTACAAAAGACGATTTTTGGTAATTAAAAAAAAACTACTTTAAGAAAATTAGTTTAAAGTTTTTGAAGAAGAAATTTAAAAACTTTTCGAGTTACACGCTCTTCGATGGCGCTGAACAAATATCCTCGATTGCTGCAGGGATTCCTGCCATCTTCGTCGTTTTTAGTCTGCTAAACATATTGAATTATGAAAAAATCACAATTTTTTTAATTTCACACTAGGTATAATATTAAGGGATTGACAGATTCAAAACTTTCTGTCAGAACTTTGTAACCGAGCAGTAAATTAAGCAAAATTTCTGTAAATTTCAATTAAGGCCTACCTGCACCTAACTAAGTACATAGTTAGGCTAAGCGGCGATCGGCAAAACGTATTTCGAGGGAAGGCAACTAGCATGGGCCGTCTCCAAGATCACTAAGATTGAGCATATATCCTATGTTAATTGTATCTTTCTCTCCTCTCTTTTCCAATTTAATATTATACTAACAATCTATAACAACATGGCAAATAGACCAATGCCAATATTATAAACTATAAAAGATATTCTAGACATCTCAATTTGTACATTAATAAGAAGTGATTAATAAATTTTTAGAGATTTTTCATTACACACGCTCGATCATACAACCGATAAAATAGTACAATCGAATTTTCGCACCGTAATATCATCATACCGTAAGCACCGTAAATACATCAGTAACCAAGGAAGAAAGAAATTAGTATGAATATAAATGCTATTTAGTATCAGTTGTCCGAAGCATCAGCTCATTAAAATTTTTTTTAAATAGAAAAAAGATCTAATAAAATCAATCCGTACCAATTGCAAGCTAGTTTCTGTGCACTTCCATTACTTCTTTATTATATTTTCTTCTTTATATTTAATTAGTATATATGTAGATAATATATGTATGTACGTTTTCTGTTTCATTCTTTAACTATTTAATCAAAACATTAGGCTAATAACTTAATTTATATTTTTTAGGCCTCAGGGTAGCAGTAAAATGGATCGCTACGAGAAATTGAGTAGACTTGGCGAGGGTATTATTTTATTTTGAAGCAGGCGCATCTGAAATGCATCTAAATACTATTTTGTCTTGCAGGTTCTTATGGCGTCGTCTACAAATGTCGTGATCGTGAAACGGGCGCCTTAGTGGCTGTCAAACGGTTTGTGGAATCCGAAGATGATCCAGCTATAAGAAAAATTGCCTTACGCGAAATTCGACTATTGAAAGTTAGTATTCACCTTGATTTCAACGCTATTTTTATTATATTATTATATTACTGGTTTTACATAACTATGTTAATGTTTACCAAATAGGCAAATGAAAACTAGATATTTTGTTTAATGTAAGGATAAAAGAAATCTTATTTGTGTCAAAGAACAAAAACGAAAAAGTAGGATCTAAGCGATTGTCAATATAAACTGTTAAGGAATTTTAATTTCAATGCAGTCCACATGAAAATTTTCTAATAGAGGGAGATTTTAACAGAAAATCTGATATTACGGTACTGTTCATGGTGGACAGACCGAAAAGCGTCTACTATTTGCAGAACGCAGAGCATCCTGCTCCTCCCTTTGCAACCAACCTAATCTTACAGGAAATCATATCTAGCTCGTTTTTAAATCCCCTTCTTTTATTGCTGAAAATCGTGGTGCCTTGGTTAATTTGCGTAGAGCTTCCTATGTTCGTTTTAAATAATTTTTGAGCACATCTTTGCTGTCCTTTTCATCCCTACTGATCTACTGGAAGTGTAACAGAAACCCGATCAATTTCTTATAAAAATTTCAAGTTCGTTCTAATAAACGACAGTCAGACGACTCTAAATGATCCCTACATAAAAAAATCTCCAACTGAGTCTTGTATACTAATTTTGGTAGAGCACGACGTCGGTCCATCGTAAAGGGATTTTAGTTGACTATAGGGAATGCATTCTTTAATCATGAAACTATAATCTAAATCGCCAACCGCCAGAGAAACTTTGTTGGCAACAAAACTTTCGATTCAAGATTCCCGAAATCTATTGTAAAATAAATAATAAAAAGTCCTAGAAGATTTTCCTTGATTTTGATCGGTCAGTTTTAATGGCACTAATTGCTACAGAGATGCCAGCTGAACAATTTGTTCAGAGATTGCGTTACCATGGACAATAAGCTATGTCAAATTTCGTAAAGATGTCTAGATTTCCATACAAGAACTTGATTTGGATCGATCAGTTTGTATGGCAACTACAAGTATATTCTATAGTGTTCTGATATCGGCGGTTATTCTTTATAGGGTGTCTAAAGTTTCGTTCTGGCTGTTACAAACTTCGTGGCAAACTTAATATACCCTGTTCAGGGTATAAAAGTGTTTTTCCTGTGCAACAAGTGTATTTCATACTCCCGATCGAGATGAGTGAGACAAATCAAAGTCTAAACTTGTACGGGCATTCATATTTTATACAATAAGAGTTTGGGACACAAATTATCAAACAAAGCCCAGGCACACTTGACATATAAATCTCCTAAAAGCTTTGACTACAAATTTCCACTCAAAACCTGCAGCCAACTGGTGAATATGGCAGTTAAGATATATTGTTGCGTAGTGAAATAGAAACACACAAACCTACCCATATTATAATTTTCCCTCCCAATCGCTTGGGCGCATTCCTCATCGAATGTCAGCAGATGTTTGCCTTCCCAAATTTGGAAATTTCCTTATTTCAATTTGAATTTATTTCAATTCCACAACTAATGCACCTTACCTGTTCTTTGCTTTTTTCTTTCTTTTCTCACATAGAATCTGAAACATCCCAATCTGGTCTCACTACTGGAGGTATTTCGGCGTAAGCGACGTTTGCATTTGGTATTTGAATTTTGCGAGCTGACAGTGTTGCACGAATTGGAGCGACATCCGCAAGGCTGTCCGGAGCATTTAACCAAACAGATCGTCTACCAGACATTGCAGGGTGTCGCATATTGCCACAAGCAGGGCTGCCTGCATCGTGACATCAAACCGGAGAATATACTGTTGACAGCGCAGGGACAAGTGAAGCTGTGCGATTTCGGTTTTGCGCGCATGTTGAGTGAGTACAAAGGGGAAGGAGGAGACATTTTGCATCTACTAACAGCGACAGGCAGAAAATAGTTATCTTCAATTGTGCCACAGCACACAGCTTCCACCATTGTGTTGCTCCCTGCTGTTGTGTGGCATTTTCTTTTTTCCAAAAAAATTTACCTTGTTCTCTTTTTTCTATTTTATTTTACTTATTTTCATTTTATCTGACTACTTTATTTTTCTTTTCCTTAACACCTGCAGGTCCTGGTGAGAATTACACAGACTATGTCGCCACCCGCTGGTATCGTGCGCCCGAGTTGCTTGTCGGCGATACACAGTACGGCACCGCTGTGGATGTGTGGGCAATCGGTTGTCTCTTTGCGGAGCTGGTGCGCGGCGAGGCGTTGTGGCCGGGTCGCAGCGATGTGGACCAACTGTATTTGATACGCAAAACTTTAGGTGACCTGCTGCCTCGGCATATACAGATTTTCTCACAAAATGAATATTTTAAGGTGAGAAAAATGTGAACTTATTTATTTTCGTACGAGGTCGGACAGTATATCCTTTAGTCCTAATTTTTTATTGTTGCAATGAGAAGATTGATCATTTGTCTCAGAACCGTTTGGAAAGTAGATATTTTTTTCCATTATATTTCTAATTTATCGCCCTTCACATAGAATTACCTTTTGAGTTCATTTTGGCTTAGATGCAGTCCAATAATGTCTAATAATTGAATAATACATATTATTTGGAGTTCTGCTCAACAGTGGACGACGACATTTTCGGTTGCGTCATATTTTGATCTACATTCTCTATATACCTGACCATATGTTGCAAATCTGCAGACTAGGTTAGGTAATTAGGCTCATATTCGTAAAATCACTAATGATCCCTCTTGCACAACTAGAAACGACGGTCCATTGTGATGCTCAGATTTTCTAAATATTGATCAGAAAGACCGTCTCAAATCGGCAAAATTCCTTGATTCGTAGAAGGTATAACTACCGAGGTGTTGGGGTAAGGATGTATTTTCTTTCAAGTTCTTCAGCTTTGCAGTTACCACCGATTCCAGGCAATCTCCTATATTAATTTCTATCTTCGTAAATAAATTCAACTTGGTTTCCATAGCTTCAATAGCATTCTCTGGTCGGATATTTTAGTTTGGAGGACTGAGCGTAAACTTTTCAACCTGTTGTATATAAAAACGGGATACAAAATTCTTCTCAGCTTGTATACAAATATCTGGGTTAAGCTAAAAGACGATTTTTTGTTCTAGTTCCTGCACCTTCTCGGTGAATTCCATTAGGCAAGTTTCTAAGTGTTACAATCTTAAATAAATATCTAAATACCATGATCTTAAAGCACAATATAAAAAGACTCGAATAAATTAGTAAGTAGTCTGTGGTCCATTTAGATCGCGAAAATTTTTTTTTATATAAATCCACCCATACTTTAATCACAGAACATTTTAATTACAATAATGATCCAACGAGGGTCGTTTATTATTATATAGAAGACCAATTTGTAACATATTTCTTATGTCTATTTTGATAATTCGTGTGTAAACTAACCACTAAGTACCGAATAACACACCGGCAATTCTTCAGCTGCTTTCGCTCTTGAGAGAGTAGGGATCAAAACACCATAAATAATAAAACATTAAAAGACCATGTCGAAAAATTATAGCTTTATTTTGTTTTAATTGTTATTATTTACTATTACGTTGAAAAAAAAGAATTCTAGACAAAAAATATTGAAACATTAAAGGATAGCCATAGTCATGATTTTCTAGTCCATGAAACGGTCCTTAAATTCTAACAACCCAACTTTTTGTGCAAAGGTTGTGTATATAGTAAATAGGTTGTGTATATAGTAAGAGTATATACTAAAAAAATTCTCAGGCAGTTTTTTGATTGGTTGTCTCAGTTTTGTATAGGGACGCTTCAAAGATGGACGCTAGCAAAGAAAAAATACGGCATATTTTAAATTTTTCTTCGATAAAAGTGAAAACTCAAGCCAGGCGGCTGAAAATGTAAATAATGTTTCTGGTCCTGACACTTTCATAGCCAATCATGCGCAATTTCTGTTTCGTCGATTCCGTTCCCGTAATTTTTATCTCAAACATACACCACACTCTGGAAGGCAAATGGTTGAAAATAAAGTAAAATTATGGAAATCGCGGCGATTGCCTAGAACTAAACATCGGCAAGAAACATAAATCTTTTGAAACCCCTTAAATAAGGCTGGATATAAAACAAGAACGATGTACGGGTGCCACATGAGTTAACGCAAAACACCCTTATGGACCGAATTTCCATTTCGGAAGCGGATGGTTATTGCTGATGAAAATAAGGTTACTTACAACAACATTAAGCGAAAAGAGGATTGAATGAAAGGAAAGTTTTGGTTTAGTAATGTCAACAATTGCACCGTCTGAAGGAAATAGTATCTCAAAGCTGTCTTTGGGTAATAGAAAAAAAAATTGTGTTCCATTAGACCACACACATGGATAGTGAGTTAAAAAAACTCCGGGAGCATGGTTAGAAGGTACTTATCCATACACCTTATGATCCGGACTTGGCACCAAGTGGTTACCATCTGCTTTTGTCTATGGCGTATGATTTTTCTGGTGGAAAATTCGTCACAAGAGTAGATTGTGAAAATCGACGTTTCCAATTCTTTGCCAATAGGGACGAGCGTAAGAATGGCATTATGAATTTACCCTCGATATGTTATCGAACAAAACCGTACATATTTGACCTAAATCCAATCATTCTAATATTACCAAATAAACACTTTTATTTAATGCAAAAATAATATATTTATTTGTCCAAGACTGAAAGTAGATCAGAACTAATGGCTTTGTATTTACTAGTCTTTTTAACATAGCTATACAATTGAATTTTATTAGCTTAACTAACTTAAAGAGCAAAATTATTTATTTTATTCACAAAATCGAGATCCAAGCTTGTTAACAATAGCTTTTTCTGAGCAATTGCTGTCAGGCTTCTCTTAATAATCTAATCTTCATCCTTGTCCTTAAAAAAATTAGTATAGTTGATTATTTTCTTATGCAAAATTCGGTTTTAAAGTGTTTTTAGGTTATGGGAAACTTGTAGTTAGCTAACCCGGTAGTTGATTTTTCATTAAGAAAACCATTTTGCTCGCAAATATCAAAGAAGACCGGAGGCCCTCATGAAATCCTTATTTCAATTTTTCGTGCGATTTTTTTTTTGATCTTTAGGGAATTACATTGCCAGTGCCGCCAACGCTGGAGCCGCTCGAAGACAAAATGCCAGCGAAATCACTACAAAATCCGCTCACCATAGACTTTCTCAAAGTAAGTACACACATACACACACAAAAAATAGTAGCAAACGAAATTCCAAAGTGTTCAAAAAGCGAAGAAAAAAAAAGAAATAGAAACTGTAGATAGTAGAAAGAGTCTGAAACTTTGTTAAACCCACGTCTGCCTTCCAGAAATGCCTCGACAAGGATCCTTCCAAGCGTTGGTCCTGCGAAAAGCTCATCAAACACTCATACTTCGATGATTACGTCGCCAAACAGCGTGAACTGGAGCATGTTAATAGCCTCGAGGCGGCCGCACTACAACGACAACAACAATTGCTGCAACAACAACATCAGTTGCAACAACATTTGATGTTGCAGCCGCATAGTCAACAATTGCAGCCACAATCGCAACAGCACACACCGCTGCAGGCCCAACACCACCAGCAACAACAACAGCAAACACCATTGCTGCTGGCAGCGCAGGCGGCGCGTGACAAATCTAAGGTAATGGCCAAATGAAAAACTACGCAACAACAACAACAAGGCTAACAAGTGGCAGCAATTTAACTGTAACTGCCAATTTTGCGCACTTTTCCGAAAATTGGCGAACATTTCTGCATCGTCTTTTTATGTTCTTTTCACTTTGTTTATCTTCTTTCTCGTTTTCTCTCTCTATCTCTCGTTTTTATTGCGTAGACTTCAAACACATCGCTTCCATTGCTGACCAACACCCAGCTGTCGCATCATCATCAGGACTATGTGAAGTTGCAACCGATTAATAAAAATGCCACATTGCTCCATCGCACCGAACATCATTTGCCAACGATATAGTGTATTGCGCACGTATGTGTCCAACAAAACACAACAATATCCACAACACAAAGGCATCAACAAGGCTGCCGCTGGCCGGCTAGTAGTTGGCATTGGCTGACAATGCTTGCGCCGGTTGGTTGACTAGTATTGGTTTGTTGCAACTACATTCTGCTTTATGTACACCATCCGGTGTGTAGTTGCAGCAACACTTAATTGGCGCTTTTCGTCGTGCTGGTGAAGCATGTGGAGCATTTCGCAACTGTTTTGATTTTCATCTTTAATTGAGATATCTTTTTAGTTGACTTAGATGCATATGTGTATTTTTTTATCAAAACAAAGCTGTATATGTCCAATACAAAATTTAATTAAATAATAAATAAATAGTAATAATCAATGTTCTCAATATAATTTCATGCATTTAGTGCTACCGCTGCAGATTATAATTTTTAAAGCACTCCGGAGAACATGAGTCCGAATCACAACCTAGTGAATATATTTTATTGAACCTTCGGATGTATCATGCCATAAATATATCATCGCTTATAATTCTCAAAAGCTATTCAAATTTTATGTGTACTATCAAACCCAATACCAACCAAGAATACTTAGAAAAATAGGTATAGTCAAAATAAATATATTTTCTTGCATTAAATTGAACCTTTTATTCAGCATAAGTAGAATTATTCAATTTAGATGTTGCTACGTCTTGTTCGAGAACTTAGAAAATAATTTCATAATGCCACTCTCATAGAAACTCCTCCCTATTGGTAAAAAACTGAGACAGTCGTCATTTCATTACCAGTATCCATCTATTTCAGAAATGGGTTCATTTTGTTGCGATTCAACAGTGATTTTTTGCGTTAACCCGTGTAGCACCCGTACATTGAGCTTATTTTGTATTCAACCTTACTTAAATGGTAAAAAAGACAACGTCTAGCTTTTCGGCAATCCAAACAATACCTATATGATGGCCGAACTCGACGGTTTCCTTTATTTGATCGTTATTTTCGAATATTGGCCTCCCGAAGTTTGAAGCCCAAAAGTGGTTGATTGGTTACAGTAGCTGCGCCATAACTTGAGAATAACCTGATTACTGTAGTGTCTTTCAAGCGGAGGTGGCTGCCATCAAGGTAACAGTAGATGAACTACTAGTCCGAACTGCAGTATTCTTCAGAGAGGTGTGCATGCACTTCGATAGCAGAGCGAAAATTACGGGTCTCTGAGGTTAACTGATACAGAGCAGTATTAGTTGATATATTCTCTGTAAGCATGCTGCTTCTTATTTAGCGGTGCAGCCTTCAGCACCTTCGATCGTATTTCGTAGTCAATGATATTTTCCATACTCTTAAGTAGGAAGGAAGCTAGACTGATTGACCTGAAGGATTTCGCCAATGTATAGTCTTTTCTTCCTACCTTGGGTAAGAAGATCACCTTTGCATGGCTCTGGGATATATGCCAGCGCTAGACTCTCCCTCATCAGCTGAACAAGGTGGAGCAATAGGACCTGCTCTCCCGTAGCAGAAATGCTGAAAGGGTTCGACCACTGGTCTTCTCAAATTGTCTCCGGGAAATGCGCAAGTACTAGAGCAGTGGCTCTTTCTTCTGGACGTACACGTCCCATGCGATTTTTTAATTGCTAGTACTGTTTCCGTCTTGCCCCTAGCATTATCCAGCCTTGCTGCCTCTTTGAGCGTTAAGGAGACGCTTTCGCAGAACTTCCTGAAGCTCTTCTGCTTTGCTGTCCTAATCTCTTTGTAAGCACTTAGGCTACACTTGTAGTCCTCAAAGTTCTCGGTACGCTTGGCTTTGTTAAATAGTTTGCGTACCGTTTTTCTTAGTACTGAGAGCCTACTTAACCACCAATGCGATTCACCTAAATCCGAGCAGCTGATCCTGCTCGAGGGAATCTCGGTGGTGTTTGCTTTGTCAGCGCCGGCCATTAGATCTCGCCTGCTAAGCGCCGCTGCACGAGGGCATGTCGTCGTCATTGTCCCTGGCATGCTCTTCGAACAGCGCTCGCTTCTCTGGCGAAAGGGCGTCCAGGAAGCTAAACTTGCGTTTAGCCCCTAAACCTCCTTTACCTGCACCGGTGCTTGCATTAGCATTGTCTTTGTCCGTTCGCTGTTGTTGTTGCCTTGTCGTATTTGGTGATGTTGTTATCTGTTGTTGTTGTTGCTTGTTCATCTTTTCGTTATTGGGAAGGCTCCGTTAAAATACAGCCGAATTAACATCCTCGCTGCAAATCATCCAATGGGCACAGGAGTCAAATAACACGCTGGATTTGGAGGTGACAGCTCTTGGTTGTCGCACGCATGAGGCTACTGACAACATGTGTGAGGAGTGTTAGGCAGCACCTCACAATACATAATTCCAATTCAGAAATCTCTTCACTCCATAAAAGTGAAATAACTAATTTTCTTTTTTCCAATTTCGTCCTTCATATCATTACCACATTCATCGCAAGTGCTCTACAACAAATTCCTGCAATATGCATATATTATATAAAAAAGTACTATCAAGCAAATCCTTTTAAGCCAACCACACCGCTATGCCAACAACTATTTAAATCCACTTTTACATACTTAAGTACTTAGCATAAATGCCCACACGTATTACACGTGCCAAGCCGCAAGCAACAGCGACAGATCAGGATGTGAAAAGATGCCAGTATCAAGAGCGTTGACAGCGCCTAAAAGTATGTTGTCAGACCAAAGAGAGGACTGTGTGATAATCACTAGCACGTAATGTGTGAGTGGTTCATTTTTTGTGATAAACGATGTCTCGTACCGGGACAGAAAAATGCAGAAAAAGTAGCTTATTATATTAAATACTAAGTATTAGTGCTTAAGTATGTGCATTACTAATATGAAGTGTGAAAAATATAGAGTGGGAAATAGAAAAAAGTTTAAAAATTGTCATAGGTCGCTATGATGTGGCAAACATATTTCATTATTCAAATAAACTGCATCTCCATCATTTCGATACAGATTCGATAGTATAAAGCTTCGGAGCCTTAAAAATTAAATTTTTTTTGTGCCACTTTGTCCTTCTAATTTGAGTGCAATCTTTTATCAGCAGGGACTCTTTGAGTTTAAGAGAATAGAAAGAGTCAGCAGAGCTCACATCTGGCTAACATTTTGGGTGGTGTTTAAGTCAGTCAGGCCAAAAGACTTCTCAGTCGATGGTAGAGTCCGTTATTTTGTATATATATTATGATGATCAGTCTTCTGCAAAAGCTGAAGTTGACCTTATGAGTAAATGAATGGAGTTGTATTGTGCGTGTATCATTTCTTCAGTAGATATATTTCACTATCCACCGATTATGAATCTTTTGCAATGAGATCATGAGAATGAGACATTATATACAGTTGTTAAATGATGTAAATTACAGCGTAAAAAACTCTCTAATACCTGACTACCTTCGAAATAAAAGTTTCGGAGTCAATAGTTCGTGTATTTTAGAGACACCCAATATTCCAGACTCGATAAAACTAAATAAAGTCTTCTAAATAAAAACTTATTTTATTTTGGTTATTTTGGAGGGAGATTGAACTTTCCAATCTTCCTGGAAACCAATCGCCTTAAACCATTGAAAACATATTTTGATATCATGATTAAAAGAGGTAGGACTCAAATATTCGCTCCCTTACTTCTATCGGGTCGTTTGCGCATACTCTTCGATCACCTTTGACGCGGACTAATCCAATTAAATTGTGCGCACAAAACCAATCGAATTAATTTTTTTTTTTAATTTTTGGTATAATATTTTTTATGTTAGTGTGAAATTTGATCTTCATATGTCAAGGTGTCGATTATTTGGTTTGTTTACGACACGAAAAGCTTCTCTTGAATGGAATTTTGTGTTTCTAAAAAAATCACGGCTACGGAATCGTTGAAAATGTTGCAGAAGTATTTTGGGTAATATTTTCTATTACGAACATAAGTATTTAATTAGCACCCCAATGTCCCATGTGAGTACTCCTACCAATTCTGTTAATGACGATAATATCGAAAAAGTTAAAGAAACAGTACTTCACAATCGTCATGTTGCTATCAGAGAGATAGGAGAAGATCTAAACATCTCTTATTGATCGACGATTTTGGTTAATGGTTTGAGTATAAAGAGTGTCAATGCTAGACTCGTTAAAAAGGCCTAAATCTTTTGCAAAAACGACGTCGATTAGAGGTGATACAAGAACATGCTTGAGAACGTAGTTGAGGAATTTGCATTCATCAAACGCATCACTACTGGTAACAAGAACTGTCCAACAATCTTGCGAATTCCGCTCCAAAAATTAGACAAAAACCGAAAACTTCCGAGGCTTATAACAAGCGTACAGAAAATTGGATTGGCGTACTTGTTTTGGCTCAGGAGCCTATTTTGAAGACGGTAACAGAAATTCCACTTAAAATTCTTAAACATTGTGTTTATTGTGTCAGTTCGGTTCAAATTTGATCAGATGGTAAGAGAGAGATACTAAAAAATATTCTTCTAATTCGAATTCAAGCATAAAGCATAATATTTGTTCACCATGGTGTCGAACAGTGTATCTTTATTATCATAAATATTCTAAATCGAGTACACTAATCTGTATTTTTCGAATATGTTACACTCTCAAAAATTATTATCATGGCATTTTTTCTTTGCCTTTTCATCAACGACCGGCCATTATTGAATTATTTTAACTCAAAATTAGCAATTTTACTCCAATCATGATTCTCACAATTTATGGCAATTTGTTTAAGGTACGCTTGCATTTCCCCTCAGATATATTATGAAAATGTGTATGACTATTTTACCGCATGCAATTGCTGCTTGACCGGTCACATAAGGTGCCTGTAAGTATGCAATACAATTCCCTTCTTTGCATTGCTGTAATTCAGCACCCATTGACCGTTTGAGAACCCTTCGACGCAAGTTGTGGTTACTGCTGCCTTTATGCATATATAATGGCATTTCAATGGCAGCCAAGTGCTGCCATCAATAACCGACGCCAATAAGCCTTTTCTCAATCGCTGTTTCCTCAATAGTTGTACGCTTCAATGCATAAACTCAATTGATGGTCAATTCAGGCGCCATTCAATGACTGTTCGCAGACATTTGGTTCTTCTTGGTGTAACGAACTGTTATCAAATAATCCGTTGTGGATTGATGGCTTGAAATAATTTATATTTACTTGTGAGTGAATAGTTTAAGAGTAGTTGATGGGCTTTGCGCCTAAATGTAGGCAATAACTATGTACTTTTGATTTGATGAGTTGATTAACAGTGTGACGTGTGGAGAATAATTGTTTGAATAAGTAAAATAAGTAATGATAAAATGAAGAAAATATCCGTTTCGAAATTATCTACCTAAACATATTTAGAATCGAAACATAGTAAGTGGAAGAAGTTATATTATCATTATATAATCCCCTTATACTTACCCTATTTATCTATACCTTAAACATTTAGTAAAACTTTAACTAAACTAGGCACTTTATTCAAATACTCCAATTTGTTATTGATTTTGAGTCGGATTGGAAAAATTAGCCAGGAGCCTTGGTTCAATAGAAAAATGTACCTAATGTTCATCTCAAGTCTAGTAAAGACCTTCTGAAATTGACTTCCTTTTTCAAATCTCAAGACTCTAAGTATATGTCAGGTTCTGTTTAAACATTTTAAAGAACATTTTTATTAGAAAAACCTCTCTATTTTCCACTAAAACCACATACATATTTTATCAGCATTACAAAAAAAGCTCCATCAAAATAGTTCGTTCTCTCATTTATTTATCTTACATATTTTTAGAGCATTCGAGGAAAAAGTTTTCGCGTCTCCTAATAAACAGCAAGAATTATAATAATATTTCATTCTGCGAATAAAAACCCTAATTCTTATTACGCGAATAAACGCATTTAGTTACAGAAGCTTTTAAATTCCACTGAATGTCAAACTATTTACCAACATTTCACAGGAGAATGTTAAAGAATATTTGTTTCTTCAGTATAAGCTTTCAAAGCTTTTGAGCTTTCATAACTTTATAGCAAAGTTAACAGACAAAAATTGGTGTAATATGATGGTGAAAATATTAGAAAAAAAATTAAACTCTAATCGGAAAGAATGTCGCAGGTCCTATGGAAAGAAATTTCTAAAAAATAAACTCTAAATGAGTATGGTAAAATAATAGTGTTATAAGAAAAAAAATGAAATATATTAATGATTAGCGTGACGAACGGAGTCGATTTAGCTATGTCCGTCTCTCTGTCGGGGCATACGCGAACTAATCCTTCTCTTTTGAGATAACGATTTGAAATTTTTCACGCATCCTTTCCTCCCCAAGAAGTTTCATGTATGGAAATCTTGTTTATTTAACAAGATATATTCACAAAATTTGGCATGGATTGTTGTCCAAGGCGTTGTAGCATTATAATCTTCTATTGAATTACTGTAGCTTTAGTTTTTTTATAATCTTTTTAGGCAGAGAGAAAATGGGTGTGATCAGAAGCGAGCCCCGTACACCCTCCATATAACGGTTATGTTGAAATACTTATATATACTAAAAGTGCGATAACTCAATAAATAAATCTGCTTTTAATATCTCACAAAATGACAAAGGGATGACGTCATAAAAACCGATGATAAAATTATACAGTAGGCGTGGTACCGATCACCTATATGTGAAATCCTACATCTCAGTTGTACGACCAATTTCAACCAAATTTGGCGCGTTATATTATATCGATGCTCTTATGCAACGTTCGAAATCCGGCCTACAGCCACGCCTACTTCCCTTATATACATATTTTAATTTCCAGTTTTTTCGTTTTACGGAGAGTCAATGACCTTATCAAAATAAAACTTTGCCTTTAGGGTGTGCCACCATAGATCCAAAAATTGTCAAAATCGGAATATAATTTTTCGAGACTCCAGATACCGAAGAGGTGGATACCAGTGCCTATGGTTGACTTTTTATTGACAAAATGTATCAACTTGGTAAAAATATTATTGAAATTGTGAGAAAATCTTTTTATAATAACAACATGCGCTTGTATCAAAAAGGGTAAAATTTACCAGATTACTTCCCCTAGCCCCTGAATACTTAATATAAAAACTTTCAAACTGCCGGTTGACTTTATACCGCATATATCGATCAATAAGTCTATTATCTTAAAGAAATTTAGGAAATAACTTTCTATGATAATAAGAGTGTTCTCCTGTAACTAAAATGGATAAAATCGGCTTAATACTTCTCCTAGTCCCCACATACCTAACTTGACTTTATACATTATATATTGGTCAATCTCTTAGTAATCATATCGAAACTCAGAGCACATTTTTTTCTGGTAATGATATTTCGTAATGCCGAAATTGGATGATATCGCGTTTATACTACTTGTACGTATGCAACTGAATATAACATTTGTAGTTTAAGGCCGAAAATATGTGGAGTTCAATATCTGCATATTTCGTTATTCTAGCTTACTCTAACCGAATTAGTCGGTCACTGTGTGAGCAGAGAATGTTAATAAATTTATTCAAATAAAATTCATTAATATTCTCTAGTGTGAGTTATCTTCATAAAATGTCGTTCAAAATGAGTTAAAGGAAAATATTTGTACTGAGAAGTAGCAGCAATTTTCAAAATAATGAGAGATTAAAAAACCTGATAATAAAATTTTCAAAATAAAATTTAGCTAGAATTTTGTTTTTCCTAAGTTGTTTGAAAATAAATAGTGGCACAAACAGATATCGTAAAGCTAAGTGACGCATAATTGTATATTACTTATATTACATTCTATGTATATACATATGTATATCCAACTACAAATACAATACAATTTAGCCGAATGCGAGAGTTGTGACATCTACTATTGGTGTTGTAATAATTTTGTGTGCAATATATCAATTCTTGTATACAAATTATTATGCTATAGTAGGGCTATAGAATTTATACATATAATATAGCAACAACAACAAATTTCCAAAAGTATACAAGCACACACACACTCACACTAACTCCGTCCAAATGAGCTTTCCATGTCTTTCTCAATGGCCAACCGCATAAAAAGACAAAACCAGATCGTTATCTGGCTTATGCGACGTTTATTATGAATTTTCCGTAATTCATTCACTCATTTAAACAATTAATATACCAAATAATGCAATTTGCATACATGAAATGTCGGCTATGAACAATGTAATATTTTACAGACTTTTAGTCACCGAAGCAAAGCGAGCGTGTGAAAACAAAGTAACGAAGTATTGTATATTAATATATATATATACTAAAAGAAACGCAAAAGAATTTAAAGAGCTCTCGAAATGTTTGAAATTTGTAGAAAAAAATAAATTGTGCATAAAATATTTTATTTTTATTAAAAAAAGTATACTAATTATAACAATATTCGAATGGCCATGCTATGGATGGAAACCTATCTCTTCTATTGTTCGGTGCGTTTAGGAGTGCTTGTAGTGGCAGTATTTGGGTTTGTGAGTAAATTTCCAACAAATCAAAGGACATATGTTATCATTGAAAATATCTACATATTTTTTTATCTAAGGTTGTTTTTTTGTAGGTGCAAGTATTTATACCAACAATTTTGCTGCTTTCAATGGGCATGGAGGTAGTGAATCCAATCATGAAGCTTTTCAGAGACGATGAGCAATTTGGCAAAAACATTAATATATTGCGAATTTTAAACTGGATAGATAATCGTAAGTGATAAAAAAAATAAAATATTTTAATAAAATCAGAACTAGTTTATAGCTCAGTTGAAGGTTGGACTCCACAGGAGGTAAGCTCTGGGGTTTTATTGCCCTCAATGCAATTTCTTTACAGCTGGGGGATTCTGAATTTTTTTATTGAAAGCCTCTCGTTGTCTCTTATTTTTAGCTATTAATCTGCAACTAATGACTGATTCTTTGTAATAGAACTTAAGTATTATTGCTTTAGTAAATTTAGGTCTAAATTGTTTAAAACTGATGCACCTTGGATCTTACTCAGGTGATCTAACCGTAATTCAAATAATATGGTTAAGCAGATTTGTGATTAATTTTTAGCGTATTATTCACCTACAGGATAAGGGAGGTGAGGTTAGCTGGCTGTTCTCTCAAGATGGCGAGGGGTTACAATTAGAACGCTGTATCTAGTCCTTTGTGAAACCAAAAAATACTCCTGTAGTTGGATCTTAACTCTCCTTGAAGCGATATCTAAAAGTAGTCCTCACTAGTCTCAAGCATACAGTTAGCGAATTCAAGGGTCGCTTCCGCAATCCAGAGCCGCAAATCTTCTGCTACTATAATGGCAGCCACTTTAACTAAGACTCTGAATCACCTACGTGTGTTTTCTGACTTACAAGGCTTTAGTATGAGTTGTTGAAAATGTGAAACACTTTGAAGTTTTCTAAAGTATTTTTCTACTTGGCAGAGGAAGACAAGAGGTTAAAAGTCGATATCGACTTGAAAGCGTTCTTTACATTGTAGTCTTTGTGTTGTGTTTTGCTAAGCTATATTCACTATATACATAAGTCGTTCCATCTTAAATGGTATTCTCTCGAGCATCCAATCTAATATACTCATTATATATTAGTTATATAGTAAGAAAGCCACCTGTTTGGTGTTTGAAATGCTGACAATCACTACCCGAAGGTCAGATGTTCACTTTTCTTCGCCAAATGGGGCCGTCTTTTCGGCCAATAATTCAGCATGGTATAGCCATATGTAAATTGTGTCCTTCTCCAGCTAGTCGGTCACTTATTATGCCGATAGGACAGTCTTCGCCTTCCTCGGAGCATGTTTGCTGGATGAAATCCTATGTTTCGATTGTCTCTTTGCCTGCGGTACGTATCAGTGGATCCGCGTTTCATCAGCGGTCTCGAAACGATACAGTTATCCCTTCGGATAACACTTAAATGGCGTCAAACGCTTCTTGTCCCGAGTGAGCAATCACAGAACCCATCGCGCAAACAGCTTTCTCAAGCCCAATATTTTATGCAGTATATTATGCAGATGTGGTTTCAGCGGTCGGTAAGGCTAAACTCTTATTGGCCCACATAAAATTGGATACTTAATTTTCCATCCCTGAGATTGAAAAGATAGACGCCTAATCAACCGGTTCCACTTAAGCCATCAATTAGCTAGTTCTGCTTCCCAGTTAATTATCATTTAATATTTAACCAATAACTGAGCAACTATTAAAATTTACTTTTCTTCCAGATGTTCAAGGTTTCATTGGTTTCATGGTGTCCTGGATGGTCTTATACATGATTTGTTGTGGGCTGGCGATTCTCGGAGCCTTGAAGGTATTTAATATAACACTTACATATTTAATTATAATAAATTAATTTATAATACACTATGATACTCTAATTTTCCCAATATTTGCAGCTTAAAAAGTGGTTTCTGTTTCCCTTTGTTGTTGCTGAATTTTTACGTATTATCACCTGCTTTGCCTCACATATCATATTCATGATAATTTTGAAGAAGAAACTGAATTTAGGACTTCTGATCGTTCTCACTTTAGCTGGTGGTTTTATAATCCGTAAATTTCCAAAGGCAAGTTTAAGTGCTGAAGTATGTTCTCTAATTTCTTTACCTTTGCAGTATACCTCGGCTACAATTGGGCCACGAGCGTTGCGCTCTTTCAAGTCATCGAACTCATACACACCGAACGCTACCGCAAGATCTACGGTGATGATCCTTTCCATCCACAATTACCACCAAACTATACATACGCCTCACAACTACCACCACTGCATGATTACGGTATAGTGGAGAATGTGCGTGTGCTGGTCACACCACGTAGTGGAGATATTGACGACCAGAAACTGCGACAAACTCAACGTAGACCAATGAATGCCGCCGAAATGCCAGTGATTGCTGTTTTGCCAGCGGATAGTAAGAATAGTAATGCAAGATTTGTGCAAAATAAGCATGAAAGAAATCTGCAACAACAAAGTTATACTCATATGAAGCACAACAGAATGATTACAATGCAGACTTTCGCAATTGGCAATGGTGCGAATTGATGGTTGGCAGGCAACGCAAGGCGATGATTAGCCGGAACTGGTGAAAGTATGCGAAGAGAATGAGAGGGAGAGCTAGAAGTAAAGATAAAGATAGCGAATATTGAGAAAGAAAGAGAAAGAGAAAAGTAAAAAGAGAGAGAGAGGGAGATGAAAAAATCAGTCAAATTGAGTGTTTATTCCGTTAACTTCTGAATAACTGTAGAGCGGTTAAGCCTTAGAGGAAAGCTAATAAATACTGGTTATTTTAATAATATTTACTATGAGAAGTTTGCTGTTAGTTATTTAAAACGAACCAGACGTTCCAAAATATGAAGTTTCAACTCGACGAAAATTAGTAAACCAAAGTATTTTTCTACGTTTAACCGCAACCGACTAGAACAACCTAAAGCATACAGATTAGAGATCTGTTGTGTTTATATATGTTATATATAATTGTAACGGCATAAAATGATTCCAAGAAGCTTCAGAGCTATGTTGAAAATCTTGTTACGTAGGCCCGAATGTCGTGAGAACGATGCATCACAGTTATCAAAGTTAATTTCCAATCGAAAAAATTGCACTTGAGAGAGCATCTTTTGCCCCAGAAGATAACAAAATGTCAATGTTTGATTCCTAATTGGATATTGGTTGCTGTCACAATTCAACTGATTTAAGAGATCATATTCATATTTGTTTTGGACGTAAAGCAACATTTTTCGCTCTCATTTTTCCTTTAACTCTTGGGGGCTACGCCGCAGGCCCACGACGCGAGATAATGACCTGTATGGCATGTAGCGCCGTCTTATTGGAACCAAAGGTCATTGTCATTACTCATGGCTCAATATAATAGAGGATATAACGGCGTCTCAATAATAGATAGATTATTATCAAATGCTCAGTTTTGTTTATTAACATACCCATTCAACCTAAAGTGAGCTTTATCGCTGAACAAAATTTCCTTGTGAAAATCGGAATCGGTGGCCATCTCTTTTTGGTAATATATGTGAAAGAATACAAAAGCAAGATGCAGGCCCTTCTATGTTATATATTATATATGTTTGATTTTACTTGTCTCTATTAAAAGATATTTAGTTTATGTCTTTATTGGAAAATCAAATTTTTTTAAAAAAATTGATTTCAAAATTCTTATTTTTTCGATCGATTTGCTACAGAAGTAAGTATTGATATAATTTCTAAAAAAATGTGTTTATATAATATAAACACGAATACAAAATAAACTAACTTAAATAATCAAATTTAAGCAGTTACACTTAACTACAATATATATCCGCTAATATCACGTGAAACATTTCGCATTGGTTCCAAATAAAATTCGATACTCTGGCTGTATAAGTTGTTTAATAAGCTTATTCGTGGCTGGCACGTAACTGAGACGTGGTGAATTTTTGTCAAAATATTTGATGCCTGGTGAGTGCACCAAAAAGGCGGGATGTAATACGAAGTAGTCATATTTCAGCAAACACATAGCGTAGCCCTGTAGGAAAAGTAGTTAAAATATGTTATATGATTATTTTTTGTAATATCAGAAAACATTTCGGAGTCTAGGAAATGGGTTTTAACCTACGTTTATAAAAATGGGATCGATAATAAAAGATATCGAAATAAATTAGCAAAGATAGATAGAAATAAATTGAGGCTTGTACCGCGACTTTACGTATATTGTGCTCTCTGTCACAACGACTCACATAGGCCCAGCACTCTGATAAATTCCTATCCTAGTATCGTACTTGCGTCTACAGACGATTGCGCAATCTAGAATCAGGTTGACGGGAGTTCCCAGCCCGATGTCGCAAAACCGTCAGTTCGCTATACCCATGTTAAACAGATTCTTCTTAAACCTGCAAACCCAGTGTGAAATGCTAGCTAGGAAATGGGTTTTAACCTACGTTTATAAAAATGTGATCGATAATAAAAGATATCGAAATAAATTAGCAAAGATAGATAGAAATAAATTGAGGCTTGTACCGCGACTTGACGTATATTGTGCTCTCTGTCACAACGACTCACATAGGCCCAGCACTCTGATAAATTCCTATCCTAGTATCGTACTTGCGTCTACAGACGATTGCGCAATCTAGAATCAGGTTGACGGGAGTTCCCAGCCCGATGTCGCAAAACCGTCAGTTCGCTATACCCATGTTAAACAGATTCTTCTTAAACCTGCAAACCCAGTGTGAAATGCTAGCTTTTAAACTTAGTGAGGTTGTAACCACCCATTAGGAACTTTGCCAGGCACATACCTGTGAGTTTTTGCCAGTACTTTTCCATACCCACTCTCTCCTCCTTGTGAAGCAGCTCCTTTATGGTATGGGGACCAACTGCTATGCAGGAGTCCGGTCCTGCCATCCTGGAGACAGCTGCTGAGCATTCAAGCTCGTCAATTGGTTCATTCCCGGTTTCCCCTTTTGTGACCTGGCACCCAGCCGAGGTGCACCCGGTTGCGAACTGATTGGACGTTCTATACACTTCTTCACCAAAAGCAATGTAATTTCGTAAGCTAAGATCGCTTTAAGTCACTGAGTACGACAATACGTTCATGGCGATAGCTGCTACACCCGTCTTATAGCAAAGACTTCTGCTTGGAAAATGCTGGGAAAACACCCCATGATGAAAGTTTGATACGCGGTCTTACGATGGCTGCACCACTGCCTTCTTACGTTTACGAGCCGTCAGTGCACCACTTAATAGTACTATCCCTTAACAGTAGGTCAAGCATGGAACTACTGCATTCAGCCTCACTGCCGAGGATAACTTTAAACTTCTTTGTAAAGTTTACCCTTTCGGTAATACTGTCTCTTTGGGCAAGAAGCATAGGTGTCTCATCACTTAAGGCCTTCATTTGTTGCGACGAGATTATCTTCCCACTTCCATACGGTGTGAGTTCCAGCATGACTTCTAGAAGCTTTAGTAAGATAATTGCATCATTAAGATCTTTCTAATTGGCATAGGCTGCCCAGTCCCTAATCAATTGTTACATTTTGATCTTTAAAATTAGCTCTCAAGATTATAGCTCGCAGAAATGAAAATAAGGGTGTGGCATTTTGTTATTTAAATATTGCATAGGCTCGGTCCAGATCTACAAAATTGCATACAGACGAAACTCTTGTAAAAGTGGATCAAGGAGATTATCTTTGCTCTAACCATTTAAAAGCTAATTTTTACCACTATCCTTCTACAAAAACGGTAACGGCTTCTTACTTCATAAAAATTTTTTTTTCCTAGCTCATCTTCTAAGTAGTCGTATATCTCGTAGATCTGATTTTCCTTATTTATCACAGTTGGATTCATGATTTCTACTCTATGGCTCGGGAAGTTTCTAATTTCATAACATTAACTCCTCCACAAATTTCGTTAAAAGATATCTTAAGAACTCACCTGTATTCGCTTATTCGACTGACCTTCCCACGTGACACGCTCATCAAATATTGGTTCCTGATTATCGCTAATATAGAACGGCTCCCAATAAACGAATTTACCTTCACGTTTTGTTACCGAAAAGAGGAACAACTCTTTGGTATCTGAAGAATTAACCCATTCATTATGTTTAGGTACTAAATGGCAGTTCTTACAGATTTTTGAATGAAATGGTATCGCTTTATGTGACCGTAACATTTCAACTAATTGTGTTTTGGTTTCAGGTACTTGACTATCTTTAGTTACTTCGAAAACGGGTATTGTAAAAACGCTATGTAGTAAAGATAAGAAAGAAGTACATATATAGAACTACTTTTGAAGATTTGCTCCCATTCATTAGCAACAAACTTACCGCAGTTCTTTATTATCCAAATACACACTACGATTCCGCTCCACCATCTCGAGAAATAACCGCGGTAAATCCGGAATTGGATACAATTCAATATCTGATGCAAATATAAAATATGTATTGACCGATTTACGTGCAATATTACGTCCAACATTTATTGGATAAGTCATATTATGCTCCGTCTTATACATTGTACTGCGATCGACATCCATGTAGGGTGGGACCGCCTCGCAGTCATACGGCCATAAGAGTGCCTCTTTTTCAGTCAATGGCGCATATTCAGGCATATCCGTTGGTGGAAAATATATATGGAAGGTCACGTAATCACGTATATATTGACTCTCACGCAGACAATTACGCACAAATTGAATGGAACTCAGTGTGGCATTGAAGTCATAGCCCGGTGAGAATATGGCGAAGCTGATCGGTGCTTGCCAACTGTGGAAAAAAATTAAAAATAGATATTTATTATAATGGACTCAGTATTGTATAATATATTAAGTTGCGGGGTGTAATTTGAAACACAATTAATACATGTTTTACTTAATCACAAAGCTTTAGAGCGAAAATCATCCTTTTCTTTAACAGTTTGCCTTATTACAGTCCTACACTGAAAATCTTGAACTTGGAAACCGGTTACATATGGGTGCAAGTTTGTGGATGGTCTTTGGGACCAACTCACTAGTATGAAGTTCTTTTTATTATGTAGAAATGAATGTGAATGAAGTCTTTGAGAATTCGGCAAGTATGGAGCAATAGAATTTCGACACTGGTTTGGACAATGTATATAAGTAGCTAAGTCAAGCCTAAATATTTTTGATTTGAATCTATCTACACGGGAGAAGTATAGACAATAAGTAGGAAGAAGACTTTGACTTGAACTTAGTTTGGTAAAAGTTCGACTAAATACTGGAAAAATACAGACCATAAGTAGGAATGAGAACTTGACCTGAACCGAAAAGCAATGAATGGGTGGCCTATAGATTAGGCAAAGTCTGACTAAACAGAAGGAAAGTCAATTGATTTTAAAATTTTACCTCATAGCTATATATACATACACATATAACAGTTCATATAAAAGTTCATAACCGAAACTCTACACTTACCGTTCCGTTAAGAACGGCAAACTATCGAAGAACGTATAATCACCATTCGTGGTCAATGTAATTGTGTCGGCGCAACCAACCGATGTGCTAATCGTTCCACGTATATAATTACGCAACAGCCAATAATTACCATACTGTAATTTCTCCAACCTCAACTGTCGATCATTACATTTTAGTAATTTTTTTAAACGTTGCCCCAATGTGGAAGGTGCTTCGGTAAGTATTGTCAATTCGCGACTATCCTTCGGTTCAATTAATTTACGACGCTGCAATTCTTTCTCGAAAAGTTCATCGCCGAAAAAGACTTCATTAGCAGGAGGCCCATTCTCTTCAACGTTAAAGTTTCTCATATCTTTTGATATAATATCTTCTTGTATGGCAACGCTGGCACGGAAGGTATGTTGCATAAATATGAAGAAACCACAAAGGATGAACAGAGAGAGTATCAGCACGGGTAAGTCACGTTTCAGCATTTTAACATAAGAGCTGACGTATTGCATTGAAGAGGGTTTTGAAGCGTTATTCAATTTTTAGTCACTATTTTATTTTTTTTTAAGCATTACACCTAGAATTAGGAAATTTATGTAAAATTCTATTTAATTTTTTTCAAATAGTGTGCAATTTTGAAAATAATATTAATATAAATGTTAGAAAATTGTCAATTTGAATATACATTTGTTCTTAAATAAATAACTGTAACACTATTTAAACTAAAAATCAAAATAATAATAAAATAAAAATCAGTGTTGCTACCTATTGCCACTTAAGCTAAGCCGAGCAAACTTGTTGAGAATTAGCCCTTAGCACATCTACTTAGACTCTGTAACAATGGATGAAATCGGATGTGGTAATACTTCCTCTATAAAGGATGTGTTGAAAACTACTAAAAGTGCGATAATACACAAAATAAATACGCCAAAAGCATTTACCACGCACTTTTAGGTGAAATTTAATATCTGAAGAATCTACTTGACCGATATCCATCAAATTTGGTCAATAGTCCCAAATACCTGATATAAAAAAGTTCGAACCTCCAGTTGACCATCGGAGCTCCTGAAAATATGAACCCGACTTTTATCTTTGAAAATTGGGAGAGAATGAACTGCCCAAACTTAGTCCTACGATATTTATTTATATAACTTTTTTAAAATTAAAAATCGAAAAAAGATAATTAATATGAGAAAATATCACAAAATAGTGGACATTAAAATACTTATTTGGTGCTTTTAGTTGTTTTTGAAATAAAACAATAAGTTTAAAATAACCAACTCTATATTTTAAAAAAATTGTTGAAGAGGGTTGTCAGCTTACTAATTTATCAAATACTTTAAGGTCAACAACTACATAACAGTATTTTTAATTGGCAGAAAATACAATTTGGGTAGAATATGCCGGAGGCCTTATAAAATAAATATATAAATGATCAGGATAATGAGCTGAGTCAATTTAGCCTGTTTGTCTGTATGTACGCGAATTAGTCTCTCAACTTTTGAGATATCGACCTGAAATTTTGCACACGTTCTTAAAATTTAGATATAGATTTTTTTATACCTTTTATGCTATTGTATATTAAATGCACATGTGAAGGGTATTATATCTTCGGTGTAATCGAAGTTAACGATTTTTATTAGTTTTAATTATATATACAAGTAAAAAACTAACCAAATATTATGAAAAGTATCATCAAAAGCATTAACAAATTTAACCGATTTTTTTTTGTCGCCATGTACCCAGTTTGTAACTAGTTTGTCGCTCATACTACTATACTGTTATTAAGTATCCCGTAAATCATGTATTTATAAAAAAAACTCAACTCTTGCTAGTATTGAGCATTGAATTTAATAATAAGTTTTATTTACTACTTTGAGCTAATGCAAGCAATTAAAATAAATATAAGTAATATTCGCTCGTGAGCAGTTTATCAGCTAGTAAGCATGAGCGCTGGGACATAAATATGTGTTATTTCCTGTAACTGTGCATTGTAATGTAAATATTAGGTTGCGGTCATTGCCGCTGATAAGTAATAAAAATTATTTTTAATATTTTTTCTATTCACACATTTTTATAACCCTTTTGTGATGAGTTTTTTTAGCTTGATAGCAGATGAGATATCAAAAGAAAATTTTTTGGTTTGAGAATTTATCTTCACCAAACTTTGTACAGATTAATATGCAAGCCAATGCTACAATCTCCAAACATATTATTCGGATCAAATCCCTAAAGCGTATAGCTGTCATACAAACTGATCGATCAAAATCAAGATAAAGATTGTTTTATACTATTTTATGTTATAAGGAATCCACCTGTCGAGGGTATTATGGCTTCGATACAGCCGAAGTTAACATTTTTTATTATTATGATCTATATTTGACTCCATATGACATATTCTATTAATAATTTCACTCGGTACTTATTATAATCAAGTGTGAGTTACTTTCAACCACTTTGCATTGCTTTGAAATTATTATACTATTTTATACTTATTTATTATATTATTTCAAAGTAATGTAAAGTGGTTGAAAAAAACTCACACTTGATTATAATAAGTGCAGAGGGAACCTGTTTTAGATCATCTCAAACAAATAAAACGATTGTCAAGATAAAAATTTTATAATTTGTCTAAATGAAAGTACCAAAATAATACAGTGAAAATAATATGAGATATCTGTTTAAGATAGAAGATGTCTTTTGCGCATTTCTATGAAGAACAAGATAGTAAATGCCACTTAATTCTTTTCGTAATTGTTTAAAGCTTAACGTTTACGGTAATTAATCCAAACGTCGACGCTAGTTCGTAAAATAGGCTTACTAAATGACTTTACTTTTGATGGATAAGAGAGAGAGTACAATTTTTGCACTTAAAAAAAGTCATAATAGTTTAATTTGTGCCTATATTCGTAAAAGAAAAGATTATCCGAGTTAAATGTTCGTTTCTATCGCTATTTTAAAACAGTTAATCTTTAAACGCGTGATTTACAATGATGCCCTCGAGCTATCACAAGTGCCATAAATACACACATATGTATATAAAAAAATAGCTCTCTCTTTTATATGAATGACTATCACGAAAAAATTGATTTATAAATTCACTAGTTGAATATTAAGTAAGATATACAAGTTTTCTCATCTTGAACTCTAAACTTTTGACTTTTTAGAAACACAAATTTTGCATGAATCACTCCGTAACGTGACAACACGCCAAAACTTGATAATGTTTTTAAAAACCCTCGTCAGTTGATTTAATACGAAATAATCCGAAAATTGACCATAATTATAATAATCTCAAAGGTTGGGTTAGCAATAATGCCAAATTTGATAATTACTCTCTGATCAAATTTGAACCGGACTGAAATTTTTTTCCTAAATTGGTACAACCTTTTCCATTTTCGTATAAAATATGATCTTTATATTTCCTTGTGTGTTGGGAAGCTGCTCGTTTAAGACGGGAAAACTTTATCTGGTAATTTTAAAAAAAATTTGCCTGAAATGTTGTACCACCATTAATTAGATTAAGCCTTGGCATGCTTGTATTGGCTCAAAAGGAGCCTATTTGGAAGGCGGCAATATACATTTGTATTAAAATACGTCATTCCTGGTGATTAGGTGGTATATACAGGTGGCTACGCTACCATTCAGATAGTCCGAACTCGACTGCATTTTTTTAAATTAAATATTAAATAAATATTTTGTTGAAGTAGCCCTGTTAAAAAATGTTATAAAAATTTCAGATAATTGCTGCTCATATATCTTTATTATACGATATAATTTTTTAAAAGTCATAGATAAAATGTTGAGGTTATTTACTCAGACTTCTTTTTATGGTTTTATTTGAAAAAAATACTTGCAGAAAATTTGAATGCAAGACAGGCGGTTATTAATGAACTCATGGCAAACAGTCCTACTGAAAAGATCGTCATATCATACGAAACCCAAGAAGCTTTGGTGGAACTTCATATATGAATCAAGGTTTTTTAAGTAATACAAAATAGCGCATCCTGTATGCAAATATTTCATAAATATGGTTTTATTCTTTCCATTCATCCATAGTAATGTATTTGTTGTAACGGTCTTTAAAAACTTCGATACCGTTTCGATAGTGCGAAGCGTTGAGGTTGTATGTAAAATGTTTCCGCAACAAGCTACTTTTAGATTCTAGGAAAGAAAAAATACTCAGCGGTGGCCACAACTTTGAATACAGAGGGTGCAGGACTAGTAGGTAGTGTAATTCATTCAATTTATCCTTTTAATCACAAGTTGATTTTAAAATCACCCAACACAATTTCACAAACTCTTTCGGTGTTTTATGACGTTACTGGCTCGTGTAGCCTTCATGAACCAAGCACCACTGTTGGTACAGTTATGACGCAGATTTCGCAAACAAAAAACAATGCCTTATCAATACACGAAATTCACTTTTTTTCATTTTAAACAAAAATATCAAGTGTTGTATCACTTTGAGACCGATAACTTGAGAACTATCGAATGAAATATCATAAAACTTCGGCAGCAATCTAGTTAAAATTAGTACTCTAAGACAAGCCAAACTGTTTTTTAGTTTGTGGCGTGATCTCTTCTTTAGTTCTCTTATTATCTCAAACGTGCATAAGTAGAAAGTTTCCAAAAATGTCCACGATCTTTATTTTTCACTGTTATAAAATATAAATAAATACACTTGTTACAAATATGATATTCTCACTGGAATTAAATATTTTGCTTGTGGGTTTCTGGTATCAGGACACATCTTTCACACACCTTTGATAAAAATATATAAATATATGCATAGAAATATAAATATTTATTATATATACAATAATTCGATGTTTTTATATAATATGATATATTTCAATTAAACATTAAACACGATATAATTTATATATTATTAGTCGATTTCCCCGTACTGTCGTTAAGTGTGCGAACAGTCCACGGCAACTTCCGCACTCATACTGCAAGCAGAGGATCAGCACAGCAGCGTTGAATGGTCATTAATATACTATCAGCTCAGTAAGCGGAAATTAGCTTAAGTACATACACACTCATATTCAATGCGATAGTGGTAAATAAGAAGCTCTCTAAAATATCGCGCGCTGTGTTAGGCGTTTAAAAAAAATGTAAATACTCAATGCGCTTTATCTGCAATTCGACATCAATTCGGTACAATAATAAAGCTCTGTGACCGCTTAGCCCTTCTCCAAGTAGTTGAATTTGACTCGGACTAATAAAAAAGTAGCAGCATTATCACATATTTAAAATCTTTATTATTGCCGTAGGTTTATAGGTTTATTTTGAGTCAATACAAGCATTCCAACGATTAATCCAATTTTCCATACACTTATTATAAACCTCGGCTGATATTGCTTTCAGTGCCCTCAGCGAATTTTGTTTTTTTCCTGTTTTAGCTTTGAAGCACCATTCGCTATATTATTGGACAGTTTCGACGTCATATTCAAAAACTCACGTCTTTTCATCGCTAATGATTAGATTCAGGTATTTTTAACGGGTCTAGCATTGACACGCTTTACGCCCAAAACATTAGCCAAAATTATTGTGTCGATCCATAGATGTTTAGATCTTCTGCTATTTATCTGATGCCAACAAGACAATTTTGAAGTACTCTTTAACTTTTTCGATGTTATCGTCATTAACAAAGGTGGATGGAGCACTCCAATGGGCCAAGTTTTCGATGATTTCACGACCTTCACTAAATGCTTTGTGCCACACATTGATTGATATACTTCTGCTCAAATATAAACGAGACTTGCTCAATAAAACAAAAACGGTTAATTATTCTTCAATATTTATTTTATCCCGTTCAAAATAGTCACCATTAGAGGCGATACACATATGCCACCTTTTTTTCCAATCTTCATAACACTTCTGGTAGGCCGCTTTAGGTATGGCTTTCAGTTCCTTCTTCGAATTCTCTTTTATGACTTCAATCGACTGAAAATGCTTTCCACGAAGCGGCAATTTGAGTTTAGGGAAAATAAAAAAGTCACACGGTGCCATGTAGGGTGAATACGGTGCTTGCGGAACAATATTTACGTTGTTTTTGGTCAAATAATCGCGTACAAGACGAGACGTATGAGCTGGATTTTGGAACAAGTCGAGCAGACACACGTCTCATGCCCAAAACATCGTGAATAATGCTATGAGCGGATCCATTTGATATGTTGAGCTCACTAGCTATCTCTCTTTCAGTCACACGACGATTTTCCAACACAATTTTCTTTACTTTTTCGATGTTTTCTTCGTTTATTGACGTTGCTGGACGACGATCATGGGGCAAGTTCTCCAGCGATGTACGGCCGTCCTTGAACGACTTATACCAATCAAAAATACGTGCACGTGATAGGCAAGACTCCCCATATGTCATCTGCAACATTTTCATTGCGTCCGTCGCACTTATTCCATTGGAATAACAAAATTTCAAACAAACACTTTTTGCTCAACGTTAATTTCCACAGTAAAATTCGAAAAACACACTCGAGGTTGACTTGTTTATAGTGCCGTAAAAAAAAAACTATGTGACAGATCGCGCTCAAATTTGACATGTAAACATATTACAGTTCTGCCAACCTAAGCAAAAAAAAGTATGGCCATATGTCATGTCCTTGTCGAGTTATGGATTATATTTGAGCAGAAGAGATCAAATTTCACAGGAACATAAAAAGATTGTACCAATCAAGGAAAGATTGTTTATCCGAGTTAAATTTGATCAGTCTTTGCTTTCTACGGAGGAGGTTCGCTGCGTGTAGTCCCCTATGTCGACTATTCCGTGGTCTCTGATGTTTAACAGTAGATATATCCTCCTTGTAGATGGAGAATATGACTCTTCGGAAATGCTTACCCTCTGAGCTATCTCACGCACCTTATATTTGCGGTCTCCTAATATGAGATTGCCGATTTTTACCATGTTTTCGGAGAAACTAAGCAGTCCAATACGAATTTGACATGGTAGAGCCCTGTAATCCTTTTGCCCTTCTTCAAGAAGTCGATGTATATCACATCTTCTGATTTCCCAATAACGGTGATCATCACCTTTTTGGAAGATAGGACAATCTTCGCCTTCTTGGAAACAGGTTCGTCAGATGAAGTCCACTGTTTCGACATTTTGTTCGTCCCAGGTACATACTAACGGATACACGCTTCAACAGTCACGATATGAAGCAGAAACTCCCTTGGTTAGCTAAATATTCTCATATTAAATATTTCACTCAGGATATGGGTCATCAAAAGCCGAAATGCTACCACATTAAAGCTCGTTAAGTCATATTTAAGGGTCGCCATCGTAGGATAGAGTTACTGGGTTTTTTCTTTTTGTTCAAAATTGTATCATTATTGCGATAGTGGTGCTGGCGTACGCTGTGGCTAAATATTTATTGGACCACCCTCGTTCACCTAGCGCGCGTCAGGAATACTCAAAAATGTTATTTATTGGTTTGATTATTTTAGATTTAAGATTTTTCCAAGATCCCAAATAACTGTAAACAAATACTAACTTTATGATAAAATACGAACTTGAAACTTGTGGTCATACAGTATAGTAAAACCATCACAATATTAACATGTTACACTCAATTGAGTGCCTGATATAAGGTCGAGATAAGAATTACACATATCAAGAACAACAGTAAATATGAATAATGTTTCATGTCTTATTGTAGAGGCTATAACAATACAAGTACAACCAAACTCAAATACCATGACAATTATATAGCATATCTCCGCTGTAGGCTGAGAAATTAACGTAAGTAAGCTGTATCGGCTTTACTAAATTGTATAGAGTAGCGTATTGAACATGCAACAGAAATACAATCGACTGGAATAATCAAAAAGAGATAAAAACTTTGTATCGGCGATAACCGTATCATTATTGTCTATTTTCTTATTTCTTTTACGGGAGTATTCTTATGAGGTCTGAGGACATGAAAAAGCGGTAAATATTAGAGATAGCGAAAATGGTGGATACGAAAGCGGTTCATAGTTAAATTCATGCAATTTTGACATCGCTTACATTAATATGTGATATGTGGAAACGGATTGCGAGTTCGTAAGGCACGTACTTTCTACAGAGCTTTTGCCTAAGGTTATTAGTTCTCTCGTAAATCTTAATTTTACAGTCATCTATACTATTATTACAAGGAGGAATGATTTGATTGTTTGCATATTTGTTTGTTTGAATTGATTAGCCTTCGAAACCACTTGACGGATATGAAAACTTTTTTCACCGTTGGGAAGCTAACATACATTACGGACAGTGAACGCGGCACGTGCTCTGCGAAAACTATTGATTATAGAACAAAATAATGTACTACGACTTTGCAGAACATATAATTCCCTACAAAAGATGTAGCGACAGCATATCTGTAATTGTTCTAGTTACATCATAAGGATTTTCAAACATCCTGTTGACTTTATCTTTTATATATTGGTCAATATATGGAAGTACTATCTTAATAAAATTCAGCGCTAATTTTTTACTGGTTCGAAACAGTTTTTTGGATTTTCTTCTTTTGGGTTCTCATGAAGTTCATAGTCTCATAGTAATAGTATTTATGCCACTTGGAAGTTATCAACTTTTCGAAAGCTGACATTTGTCGCGCACCGTGCTTTAATTTGTTGACATATGTACATGTATATGTGCATACTACTATATGTTTAAGTAATACGATCGTTGCATTCATTACACTCAGCGCTTATTAAAATTTGAAATTTTAGTAGACATTTCTATCTCAATAGAGTACACAATGCGCTAAAATAATATGCTAGACTACATTGATTAACTGTAATATGCACTCATGTTTATGTGTATATTTGTACCAGATTGTAGAGAGACAGCGCAAATATGTCATCATACAAGTCTCATGTAAATTAATTATAATTTTAAAATAGAATGGAAACTACGCCCACCTCTAATATAACGGAATATTTAGAAACTATTGAAATGTGTAAAGGTGTTGTTGCTTTAAACTGAATATCTACGTAAACAAAAAATTATTATTTTTTTTACTAAATACGAACAATTTGAAATGCTAATTTACAGGCACCGCCCATTTTTCTATAACTATTTTAAGCTGAGAAAAAACACCTTAACATAGGACGAAAACGCGCACTTGTTTTCACTTTCATTATTATCGAAAGGACAATATAAAGATATCGCAAAAACGGTGCATAATTTTTGATTCAATTTGACCCGGACTGACAAAAAGAAATAAATTTTCACGAATCCTAATTATCACATCCAATATAAGCATGGCAAAGCTTAATTTAATTTTCACACTTGTCATAAACCTCGGTTGGAATGAGATGGCCTTCAGTGGCTTCAGCGAAATTTGTTTTTTCAATTTCGGCTCATTTTTGGAGCGCCATTAGCTAGATAGCTGGACAGTTCCAACGTCATATTCTTTAACCTAAGTCTCGTCACCAGTAACAATGCGTTTGATGTAAATAGAGTCTCCAGTTGCCAAGCATTTGCGACCTCTACTCAGCTAGGTTTTCGCAAAACATTCTGGTCTCATGTATGTTAAGAGATGTTGAAATCTTCACCTATTTCTTTGATGCCAACATGACGATATTTAAGCAATGTTTCTTTAAATGTTTCGATGCTATTGTTATTAACAGAGGTGGGTGGAGCACTCGCATGAGGCAAGTATTCGATGACTTCACGCCATTCACTAAATGCTTAGTGCCACTCAAATACTTGTGTTCGTGATAGAGTAGACCCCCCAAAACACTTGCGCAACATTTTGATTGATTGAGATATGTATGTCAATGAAATACCATACTCACCATATTTACAGTGAGGGATCCCTTCACAATTTCGTTTGCGTTCACGATTTAACATTTAGTTCAAACTAATTTGAACTTTAAATCACTATAAATTAATCTGGTATCTCTTTATTATTTAATTATATTAATCAATATACAACTAAACTAGATGCGTTTCGTATAGGAGATTTCATAAGAAAAAAGTAACATTCTCAATTTTCTGAATTTTTCTTTTTTAGTTTTGTAATAAATAATAGCCACTATGAGATCAAAGCCTTATCGTTAGATAGGGTTGATTTCATGGCTGCTTCTCTCGAAAGAGAACCCTAATGAACCGATTCTTTGTGAAACCAAAACCGTCGGGATATTATCAAAATATCGTCATGTAACTAAGCTAAGCGCTTTGATTCCGTCACAAATCTATTGAGAATGCTAGTTTCCAATCCTTGCAATTCACCTGAATGGCTGACGGTATGACAACATCCAAAATGTTGCAACATTATGAAGAATAATTTTAAATGTAGCCGACCTTGTTATGGGGAACTGCTGACTCCAACTGACTCAACTAAACCATGCGCTGAACTTGATCTTTTCAAGATGAGCTTGCCCAATATTTCGATAGACCTTATTCTATTTACATCGAACGTTGGTTCCAAATTTCATTCTGACCTACGATCGTCTACAGTGCCTGACTTATTTAAATCGATTTTAAAGCTTTAAACCTAAGCAAACTCTGGTAAAAGTTATACAACACATTTAAATTGCAACTATTTCAATGCGATTCAAACAGACTTACATTGCTTGTAAGAAACCCTATAACTGCGCCGTTTTCGATTTTTTCGTTATCTTATATTATATTTTAGAAATTTAATTAAAGAAAATGCGTGTGATTTAATTACAAAACAAAAAAAATAAAACAAGTAAGGAAGGGCTAAGTTCAGGTGCAACCCAACATTTTTTACTATTTCGAAATTGTGAAAGAATTACAAGTAACAAATAACGAGAAAAACACAAATCATCTCATTCGTTAAAAAGGGGTTAGAGGAACAAATAGACCGATTTTTCCTCTTTTCGGAAATACTTAACCGATTTAGTACCAAACCACATTATTATCACGATGCTCACTTAATTTCATTAAGATATCTAAGTTAGATTAGGTCGCGAGGTTGATTCAAAATCGATGAATCTCACTTGTACAGAAATTTGTTTTTTGTGTTACCCAAAAACTCTTAAAAGGTAAAAGCCGCATCGACCGACGAATCTGACGTTTTGTGCTTACCACAAATATATTAAGGCGGTTAATATCAATCCCAACAACTTCGCTAAGTTCACCATAAGTGTATCTACCGAGATATTCCAATCTCAGTGTAACAAAAGCAGGGCAATAGAGAAGGAAGTGATAAGATGATTCAACCTCGCCTTTCTCAATACAGCTTCGGCAAAGAGCGTCTGACAGAATATTTAGCCACACCGCGATTGAACCCATTGGTCAGTCTGTTGACCAGCGCTTGCTGATTTTACCAGAATGTAAGCAGATATCGACTCGACTCCAATCGGAATGAATTGAGGAAAGGGTGATCTCCGGAGCCAGCTCATCCGCTTTGCAGTTTCCAGCGATTCCGCTGTGACCGGGGACCCATACTAGTCTAATATTGAAGAAGCTTGAAGCTATTGCTAACGAGTTCATGCACTCTTTGACTAGTTTCGAGCGCACAGTCAGTGAGCATAATGCCAGTATTGCCACTCGGCTATCAGAGTGAATGCACACCTTTCTGAAAGAGGTTGCATTCCGGAGCAGAACATATGCAGCCATGATGGCAGCCACCTCGGCTTGAAAGACACTACGTGGATCTGGTAGTCTGCTCTTTGATCCATCCGTAAAAAAGCTCACTGCACTCCTTCTCCAACGGCTTCGACCCGCCCAGAAATCCTTCGGAGGTGTGTCAGCCAACAAGGAAATGTCAGGAAAAGGTTCTGTGGTATAGTGATCTATGTTGGAAGGAATCCAATCGAAGCAGTGGAAAATTTCTATGTGTATCTGCCCGGGGCCCCTCATATACCCAGCTTCCCTTCACCCCCAAGCACCTACCAGCTATGTCAACAGGTACACCGTGTAGAATAGCATTGAGTGCCATTGTTGGGGTAGTCCATGGTCCACCAAAGATGCCGACAGCCAGCGACCCCATACAACATTATTGGCTTAACTATGGTTTCATAGAGCCAAAGGATGACTTTTTGTGAGAGACTCCACCTCTTCCAATTGCTCCTCTCCAACATTATTAGGCGACAGATGCCTTCCTCACTCTCTTCTCGATGCTTTGGTTCCATGACAGCTTCTTATCAAGGATAAGCCCTAAGTACTTTACTCGGTCCACCAGTTAAATAATAGAGCATCTTAACGAGAGGAGAGTAACATCAGGGATTTTATATCGACTGTCGACCGACCTGCCTTTGCTGTAGGTATGCTGAACACCTAATAGCACCTTGGAATTCGACTCTTAATGAACAGGGCCATGCGTCTCTTTAGTCTCCTTAGCAGTGACATAAGAGCTTTTACTGGCCTTCGGGACAGATATCTAACAAATTGAGTATGTTTTAGTATAAATTCAGAGACATCATCAGCATCTATGGACCTTGAAAAATTTACTAGCTTGACTTACAATCATCCAAAATTCCCCGATCTAGTCACCCTGGTCATTGAGATTTATGGGGGCCTACTTAATATCATTAAAACATCTTACTTATTATATCCTGAACATTACATACAGTTTTTGGAATTTCGATCAGAAATTTTGTACATGTAATTTTCTTCCCAAGAAACTGCACCTTTCTCGGAACCGCCAATAGCGGTTCACTATAGCATATAGCTGACATACAAACTGAACGATATCTTCAAGAAATGTGGCATAAATTATTTACTAAGGCAATGGTGTAATCTCCGATTCAGATCGAGTCATTATAGCTAGAGCTGCAATACAAACTGACTGATCAAAATCAACTTCTTGTAAGGAATTTGTGAAGAGTATTATAGCCTTTGTGAAACCGAAGTCAACGTTTTTTCTTGTTGACCAATATTTTCGGAATAAATTAAGAGGTTCTCATATATGGTATCTCGACAACACCAGATATCCAGTATTCCCCCGTCTAGTCTTTCTGTTAATTTCCATATACATACCTCCACATCTAAACCGATTAGTTAGGTGAACAAAGCTATTATAATCTGTTCAACATGTTGCGAGAGTATAAAAATATCGCATGCGGCAACAATTAGTAGTAACATCTCCAGAATTTTATCGCTTGATGTTAAAAGTAAAAGCAAAAAAACAAGAGAATTTGTTAGAGATTAAAAAATTAAAAAACAAGTGAGTAACACCATCTGGTATTTCGGGTAAGCCAGTACTAAAATATAAAAGTGCGACACTTTCTAATTACAGCAAACAGTTCGGAGCAAATCACATAAGGGGTTGCATAATCTCCGCTTGCTACCAGAGAATCTGCTTTACAAAATTTGAGTTACGAAAAAATGTTTCGCCTGCACAAATACTTTGAAAAACAAGCATTTTTCGCCATTATAACGGTACAATTGCTGACTTTGGGAGATTCAAGAGTGATCAGCGAGTGTAGCTCCGAAGTAGGGGGATTTCAGGAAAATACTGACGCAGCATGCAGAACACAATATCCTTGGACTTACTGTAACGGAGCAGACTCGACCTATTGTACGAGTGAACTGTGCTTAGAAGATAACGAATGTATCAGTGCTGATGTACCATTGGCGCCTGTTCAGCAGATAACTCCACCAACAGATGCACCGGTTCCTATTCCAGTAGTAACACCACCAACAATGGCACCGGTACCTGTTCCAGCTATAACTCCACCAACAGATGAACCGGTTCCTATTCCAACGGTAATCCCAACAATAACTCCACCGACGGCTGTTCAAACAACGACCGAGACTACGGCTATTATTAGAGAAAAATGCAAACTTAACGAAAATTTTGCTGTACCCTACATTGGCAATTGCCGTTATTTTTACCATTGCGCTAATGGCTACTTTGGAATTGGAGATTGTGGTTTTTATATGTTCTTCGATGCCAACGAAAGGAAATGTAAGATTAAAACACCAACGAGCTGTCGGTAGAAGAGTAATTCTAAGAAGACAATAACAGCAATAAGACTGCGGTCTAATTATAATAAAAGTTGTATGAAAAATATTCCGATGAACTTAAAACTAATTTTCAACGAGTTTAAAAAATAAATAAAGCATCCTTAACATGGTTAAAAAATAAAAACGTAAATTATTAAAGCTGAAGTACTCTCTTTGAAGATAACTTTCGTAGCCAAATTGCCAGTGACAAAGTTTCCTGAATTCACTTCATCTACAGGTTAACTAGAATTAGGACATCCACAATAAAAAATTATGCAATCCTGCTTACAAGTAAACCCATGCCTTTGTGACAGATTTGTGATTTAAAGAGCCAACAAAGATCTTTAAGAATGGGTCTGATACTATTCAGTATGAGAACCCATAACAGCACTTTTACTAACTTTAGATACCACGAATCAGGATTTCTCGAATAATCTATTTTCACGATAGACTGGTTTATGTAACCGAAACTCAGCCGAATTTATATTATTTAAAATTATTCTACTCTACAAAGTTGCCCAAAACCATTTGGGGATTGCTTTATATTGATACAATACTCCCAATACCCCTCAGGAGATCACCGGCTGCAATGACAATTCGACCGGGAAAAAAACCGCTGGGACAACCAATACAACGTAACCTTTCCTCAGAAAGAATGTAGCAATATTTAAGATATCGACAACCCAATTTCTTTTAGCTCCTTTAAAGATTGCCTGAAGGGATGAATGTTAGAGGAATAGCATATGTCTTGGAACACAAAAAAAACCAGAGCGAACTACATAATTACTTTGGAGTATTTTGAGCTTTTACTTTTAGGAAAGAGGAGATCTCATCATCAGAAACTTGGTAATGTGGAATCGACTTGCTTACTTGATAATACAGAGTATACTCGAAGGAGACGTTGGAACATTACATTTTGCGAATGCCCAGTCTTCAGCCAGTTGAGATGAGATATCTTCTATAGCTCCCAATGTTCCAATTCGAAAGAGATTGAGCAGCTAGGAAAAAACTTCAAAGTTTCATAAAATCCATCTAGTACTCAAATGGCACGTAGTTGAATCTCTCTTGGAAGCACAATGGTCGTAATATTGGCTTAAGTGTGGCCGACCTGCCTTTTCAGCAAACCAAGTCCTTCAGGATATCAATGTAGTCTCCATGTGAACCACAGTCGCCTCTTACTCAGAATCTGTTTCTTTAATTTGTTGTTTTTTGAATATGCAACTACTACGAGAGTCCAAAATTTAAATTAGTGGAATTTTTCTCGCAATTTATCTCGATAGAATTTGAAGAGTCGTCGGTCGTCTGTACCTATGTACATCTACATACATCTGTGGTGATTTCTCTTGACATTCATTGTCGTTTGAATGGAGTGCGGGCTTGTCTCTTTAGTATCTCTAGACCATTGTGTTAAATGGCAGTTTGAAAACAAGAGAATCATACAAAAATAAAATCTTGTCGATGTTTCTAAAAATCCACTGTAACGGTTTGAAAGGAAGTGTTTCAAAATGTCATGAATGACCCATCTTAGCTTAATACTTCTTCTGGCTGTCAGTTGATGAACAGATTATGATGCTTTAGATGCGTAATCTTGCATCCACTTGCTATTATTATGAACATAACTGTACTCAAATAAATACTCGTCAGCAGATAAATATTTTTCAATTGAGTCTCAATTGAAAATGAATATTACAATACACATTCATGCTAACAAAAGCGATAACAGACGACTTGTTTAACCTAGTTACAAATGCTCATTTCTGTGGTATTGAGAAGAAGCCCGCTTATCAAAAATAAGATAAATCATACAGACAAAAAAATTAGTCTTTACCTGCAGGTAAGAGGGCGAACCAATATGTACCCAACTTCGCTAACCGTTGGCATTACTATCGCAAAGGAAAGTACTTATAATTAAGTATAATAGTACATTCTCGTAGATTGGTACTGTCAAGCTGAATCAAAAATAAAAAAAGCAATATCGATTTTGGTTTTGGGAGGCGGAAAATGTGGATCCAAGAAACGATCGGAAATGTGGATTTCCCCCACTTCTTGCTTTGTAGAAGGCGAAGACTGTCCAATGGGCACCCTCTTTTTGTTTAAAGTATGGGGAAGCATCGAAAGCCGGAGAGTTAAAATTTAATCCGCTTAACCTCACCTACTCCCAACGAATATCTCTTCCACCGGTTTAAGTAACACTTCGTAGTCACTGTTGTCTGGGATTCACAAGATGTGATCTACATCGACTATCTGGGTATGAACAAAACGGTGACAAGACTCTACTGGTCCGAAGTACTGGGTTGATTGGACGTCAATTTACAGTAAAAAGGCTCCTGTTGAACGTGCTTCCACCATGACAACGCACCGGCTCATACCACAGGCGTTACCACAGCTAAATTGGTCGTTTTAGGTAACGAGCAGTTTCCTTATCTCCGTATTTTCCAGGTTTAGACACGGGCGACTCCTTTTTGCAAATCATAAAAAAGCCACTCGCCAGCCATAAAATGGACTCGAATGAGGATAATCTTCTTGCCACGCCCTCTTTGTAGACCTTCAGAAAACATATATTTCAGACTAGTTCAATTTATTGGATCATCGCTAGATCAAGTGCATCGAAGTAAAATAAGAAAATACTGTGAAATAATTTGCCGTTCTTCCATTTTATATTTCTCTTGTAGGTTAAATACGTATTGAACTGTCCTCGTAATTATGTATATCAGCTTCAGAAGATTTTGTTTGCCAGAATTCAAGCGAAATGAAATCAAATTACATTCCATTTCAATGTATCACCAGAGTAATCAACTACTTGGATACCAATATATTGCCTAGCAATCTTTCATTGATTAGAAATGCGAAGGCGCCCTTTGACACACAACGAGAACTTAAGTTCGTTCATATAAAAGCGTCACACTTAACGGAAAAATATAGTTAACCCATAAACGAATCAGTGAACGAGTCGTTGGTGTGAATTAAACAACAACAAAAATGTTATTATCCTTTACATATAACTTTGCCGTTATTCTTTTATTCACACTACAAATAATTGCACCGACAATTGCGCGCGTTATAAGTGATTGTGACAGCGTTGTATTGGAAACAACGGAATATATACCAAATTCAAATACAGCATGTAATTCTCGTTATCCATATATTTACTGTAATGGTGAAGCGTCGGCTTACTGTACACAGGATGAATGTTTGGACGATTACCAGTGTGAGAGTGACGATATAAGTGAATTATCGGGAGAGGAACAGGTGTCAGCAGCATCCGCTGAACCCACAGTAATAACGACTGAGAGTACCGCTACAACACCTAAAAGAACAACAATAGTAACAACCATCACTACGCAGGGTACAACTAGTACAGCTACAACAACGGAAGAAATACCAATAACAACGAAAACAACAGCAACTACTCCAAATATCCCAATAACAACAAAATCTCTACTTACAACAACAATAGACTCACAAAATATCAAAAATCTTTGCCGTGCAGGTGTCTTCGCCAATTATTCCTATCCGAGGAATTGCCGTTATTACTATCGTTGCACTAACGGTTATTTCTTATTACAGGAGTGTGGCTATTTAATGTTCTTCGATGCGTACGCTGGTTATTGTAAGAGCGCCAGAGAGGCGCGGTGTGTAAGCCGACTGATTAGGGTATGAATTTTGATTAAAAGGGCAGTCGAGTCTAGAGCCCCCGAAAAAGATCTTACTTTTAGGATCTATGATGAGAATAAGGAAAAAGAGAAGAATATCTCTCTTTCAGGATTTGTTAAACATGTATTTGAGTATATAAAAGAGGAGAGAGAATTGTTAGATGAAGTTAAGTAGTGTAAAAGTTTTGTAGGGTAATATTAAAAGTAATAAATTATTTATTTGAATTTTAAATCTGAAGGCTTTTCTTTCATTTTATTGATTTTATAATTACTATATTCGTGTTTTTTTTTATAGTTCGAAGTATTACCCATCCAAAGCCATAATATTTTTCCATTTTTCTGACAATTTGCAAAAAATTCGTTCCAAAAGAGGTGCGTCAGCTTGGCGGCCAAGAATGAATCAAACCAACTCTGTTCTGATGTGAGCCATATTACAGAGAGGGCGTTCTACATCGACCGGAAAGAATGGTAATCAGAAGTGACAAGGTCAAGGCTATAAGGCGAGTGAGGCAAAACTTCACAGCCACTGTTTTTCAAATAGGTTTTAACCGTTATTACAACATGTGGCTAAGCGTTGTCATGATATAATATTATTGTCTCGTGTCTAGTCGCAAATTTTGGGTGTTTTTCTACAATCGCTCGCTTCAATTTGATGAGCTGTGTTCAGCGTCTCTTGGCTTCGAATTTGTCTGGCTGCTTGAGTAACTCCAAAAGATTCTTCGAGCTCTGCTTGTGCTTGGTAACAATTTTCATCGAGTAATGCTTACAGTTCCTCATCTTTAGACATTTTTGTCCGCTCAAAACGATTTTCGTCTTCCATAAGTTGCATTCATGTATGCTTCTTCCTTGAAATTCTCCTCCACTTGGAACTTCTAATGCGAAGCGGTTCTATCTCTTTATCCACCTTCTACGAATACCGATTATTTTCTAAGATGAATTTGCATCCAGTCAAGTTTAATTTTTCTCCATTGCTTCAAGTATAACCTATTGATACTATTAAGTTTTTATATTCAAAGCCAAAAAAGAGGACATAACTTCTCAATTGACTCCTAAATCCAATCGAGGTTTTATTAAATAGATTGCAATTACGAAGTTTCAGATCTTGATATTATCAAGATTGTTTTGATCATTCAGCACAGGCTCAGAACACAACCGCATAGGTATTTTATATAAACAAGGCTCATATGTGGTCTTACAGTCAACAATCAAAGGTGGCCAGTTCCCTTCAACATAAGCTTTCAAAGATTTCAGTACAGGAATAATGTCTAATCTGTATCTCGTTGGCATAGTGCTCATATGAATTCCTGCTTGTTGTCTGCTTCTTATTGAATCACTGGACTTTACCAGAGCAGATGTTCTAGTGAGAGATCTAGTGAAAGATCTATTGAGCGTCTTTCGATCAGTAAAGTAAGTGATGATGGGTGATTTTTTTAGACGTGTGGTTTTCAATGAAGCAATATCTTTTTCGGAGTTGGTCTGTTTAAAAGCAGTTATTTGATTTATACTCAGTTTGGTTTGCCATTTTATAATGAACAGACTTACTCCGGAACAAAGTTTGCAAAACGTGAAAATATATTACCAAAACGAGATAGCCACCGATCCCGATTTTCACAAAAAAATTTTGTTCAGAGATGAAGCTTACTTTTGGTACGTTAATAAACAAAACTATTGCATTTGGAATTATGATAATTACGCCACTGCTGAGACACCGTTCCACTATTTGGTGTGCTCTATGAGCAAAGGGAATCATTGGTTCAAATTTTTTTTTTTTTAATTAGTCCGATCATAACGTTACAGTCAATGAGTAATGCTATAGAGACATAATTAATGACTTTTTCGTGCCTGCATTGGAGATTGTTGAAGCGGAAAAGCTTCCCACAAGATTTATTGAAAGAAACTTTTGGTGAGCGCCGCTCGGCTGGAATTTATACGACGCAGGGCGGCGTTCACTTGTCCGAAATCATTTTTAAAACTCAATGGCAAATCCTTATCTTTATAATAAAACTAAACCTAAAGCTTGGCCATAACATAAAATAATATAATTTTTATTTGTTCTTGAAAACCACAAGTTTAAAAAAATACCTTTTATAACTAAGCTTTCTTGTTTTCTTAAATAGTCTCAACCATTTGGACTTAGGTATAAGGTTCAATAAGTTTGCTGAAGAATCACTTTCTTATTGGATCACGCAAAGCATACTAAAGTGCCAATGGCTAGGGTTTATCTGCTTATACGTATCTCCCTCTCTCGTTTTCAATGCTTAAATTACAATCATTTGAACCTCGATGCACCTGAATTCAGCTGCTTTCCGCTGCAACCCTAACTTTTACCGTGAACAGCGAAAAAAACCCAATGTGAAAAACTTCTGTTCCTTATTGAATAGTTTATCAATGAATCTTCGCCAGACGACAATACTTGAAATAAAGACTCACAAAAACAAGCTACTCCAGCTATGTACTTATTTTCACATTGATTACATTAATTTTCATGCTTTGACACACATTCAAAGAGGTCTTTCTACAAGCTATTTCTGTCATTGTATGTTGATTGATAAGTTTTTAATGCCCCGCGAGGTAAATAAGTATTAATATTTAAGTTAATTACTTTGTTGGTATACTTTTAACGCTGCATGTAATATGGCATTAAGAAATATCCCTTTAATTCATTAAGGTAATCATAGATTGAAACCACGAAAATCAAAACGTTTTTTCTCTTATGCCCTTATAATCTCGGAGTGTGTGAAGCTTTGAACGACTCCCTGCTCAGATTTCCATTTCGAAAATAATAAGCAAGACCACGATCGTGGATAAGACAAACGCTATAAATACGGCCCTCTGTGGCAGGTTCCACGATGGGAACCGTACCGACTAACGAAAATAAATGTGGAAACATATTAACTAACAAGTAAGGAAGGGCTAAGTTCGGATGTAACCGAACATTTTATACTTTCGCAAAGTCAAATGGTATACTCGTTTGAGATTTTTTTGTGGTTTGACTGATATTTTCGGTAGAAGGTCACCTATAGGCACTGGGGTCCACAGATTTAGTAGTTAGGGGCTTGAATAGTTTTGGTTCGATTTAGACAATTTTTGGTCACAAGGTGGCATACTTTAAACGTATTATTCACGCAAAGTTTTACCCCGATATAATTATTGTTGCTTGATATGCATAGTAGAAAGTGAAAGAATCAGATGGAATTGAAAATGGTATTATATGGGAAATAGGCGTGGTTATAGTTCGATTTCGCCCATTTTCGCACTATAACATAGAAATATGAAAAGAACGTCATGCACCGAATTTGGTTGAAATTGGTTAAGCAGATCCCAAGATATGGGTTTTCACCTAAAAGTGGGCGGTGACACGCCCACTGACTTATTTTGAACACGGTTCCTATAAAGTCATCTCATACCATCCCAGTGATAAAATTTAATGTCTCTGGCGTGTTTAGTGATTGGCTTATCGCGCTTTTAGTATTTTTTAACAGTACCGTTATATGGGGAGTGGGCGGGCTTGTCATCCGATTACATCCATTTTCACACCGTCAATAGAGGTGATATAAGCATTTGCTCCCAGTGAATTTGGTTATTATTGCTTTATCGGTTTTAACTGCAGATGCTCCTCCCTAATGTGATCCTTTGTACCAAATAACAGTCTTGAATCTTATTGCGGAGCTTAGTTATGGCAATTTATTTGTTTTTGATTAATGGCGTTTTGTGGGAATGGCAGTGGTCCGATTACGCCCATCTGCAATACCAACCGTCTCACGGTACCAAGAAATATGTCTACCAAGTTTCATAAAGATATCTTAATTTTTACTCAAGTTAGAGCTTGCACGGATGGACGGACGGACGGACGGATGGACAGACAGTCACCCGGATTTCAACTCGTCTCTTCATCCTGATCATTTATATATACATAACCCTATATCTAACTCGATTAGTTTTAGGTGATACAAACAACTGTTAGGTGAACAAAACTATTATACTCTGTAGCAACCAGTTGCGAGAGTATAAAAACCTCCTAAACTCCACCAATCCACATTGCATTCCCCTCCCATCTTTGAGTTCATACACTCAACGCCGTCAGCCTTTGATACCATTGCTACTATAAAACATAATATGATAAAAAAAGCCTTATCGATCTCACCTTATTCCAAAATTACCTCGTACTAAAATTATCGAGTGTTTATTCAGCGCTACCAACGATAATTCAATTCCTAGAACGTCAATAAATGTGATATTTTCTCACATTGTGTACAATAAAAACTTGGGTAATTGAGCACTATGTACCAAGGTATATGCTTATCAAATATGTACAATAACCAATAAATTTCAATTAGACAGCGTACTAGCCGTTTAATTCATTGAATGATAACGAGCGGAATATTTGCGAGCTCATATCTCCGAATTATTGCTCGAAAAGTTATGGGAAGACTTGTTATACCCTAAACAGGGTATATTACGTTCGCCACGCAGTTTGTAACGCCCAAAAGAATACGACGGAGACCGTATAAAATACATATATATATATTTAATGACGATCTGAGTCGATTTAATCAGATCCATCTGTCCGTCCGTCTGTATATACGGAAAATAGTCCCTCAGTTTTTAATATATCTTAAATTTTGTATACGTATTTTTCTCCGCATATATCAGAACACTGAAGGATATAGCTATCGTAAAAGCTTACCGTTCAAAATAAAGTGTTTTCATGGAAAAATTGCCGCAGATTATTGTCCAAGTCAATGCTAAAATATCCGAAGATATTATTCAGATCGGAACCCTATAGCATGTAGCAGGGATTCAAGTTAGCCTATCCATGTAAAGATACTTGTAAAGCATATACTATTTAATGCCATAAGAAATGTACCTTTGAAGGGTATTTTAGCTTCGGTACAGCCGAGGTTAATGTTTTCTCACAAGCCAAGTGCTGTCAGGGAAGTAAGAGCCCAAAAGTCAAAACTTAGAGGATTAAGCATAGAACCACACCGGTCACTCCACTAAAAGGAAATGCAATTACTGATAAAGTACTTTGAGAATAATAGAGTCTATGGGGTCAATGATCTTTCTGTCAAACTAACTAGAAAGCTAGAAATGGATATATATAGATTATACATCACATTTTCGAGATATTGACAGCTTTATTGGTAACACTAAAGTAATTGATATTCTGATAATAGTAAAGCTAATCTAATATTGTTTTGGTTTTCAAAAGAAAAGGTGAATTTCGATTTTT